ACGCAAATATATTACCATATACATTTTTTAATGGGCGGATAAAAATAACCAAATATGAGGACTATGTCCCAACAGTCCCTTCCGTTTCCTTGAACATCCAGTTTTAATAATTCTCTGACCAACAAAATGGCTTTTCACGTTGATTTCATATCGACCAATTTCACATGAGAATGCGTCTCCCACCATCACTTGTGCTTCTGCACTGAGGTTGTCTCGAAAAAGGAACTGGTTAAAACACCAATTAGTGGCGTAGGCAGTCTTAACTCTAGGATAAAGGTTATACATACTTTCAATATCATTGTCTGAAGGCCAGGCAGCCAAACTAGTGAGATGTTTTTCCTCCCAGTTGCAAATGTTTTATTATTTTAACTAACCCGTTATTCATTGTACAAGTTCAATGAAGCCACTTGACAATATAAGCTTTAACTCGTGTATACAGCAGCTACACAGACTAAAAGATTATTTAATGTCACGGCAGCTGTAGTGAGAAGCCAATCCTATTAATTTTTACAGGCGTAATGAGCACAATTCAACAGTGATGTGCAACCCCAATATTTCAGGGTTACAGTGGTGGCTTCTTGATTGAATTAACTGTTAACGTGCACAAGAGATAATGGAGTCTAGGTGAAATAAATCAAATGAGACATCGGGACTAAGACTGTTTACCTGAACTAGTTACACCTCCGATTTAAAGCTTTCGTGACTGCAGGGATTCATCTTCTTGGTTCTTTCGGTAAAGTCAAGTAGAATTGAAATAAAATAATAAAAATGAAAACATAATAAAATACAAATTCTCACGACGTTTTGGCCACAACACAAGTAGCCTTCCTCAGGTGAAGAGACAGAACTGTCGGGAAGACAGCGCTTCAGTGCCGAAAGAACCAAGATGATAGTTAGACCTCGCCACAGCTACAATCATAGCGTTTCCTGTTCCGAGGCATGAAGTAAGATAATTTTGGTCAATTCAATTCAACAATTTTGATAGGTAAAGTCCAAATTTTAACATTCATCCATGAAAGAATACATTTCTGTTATTTGCTCCGAAGGGTAGGTATTAAGAGATTGAAGAGTTACAAATAGATTTGAGATTAGGACTTGGGATTTGAAGTTTGGATTACATCAGATGCAGGCTTCTTCGAAAGGACCAAATTTATTACGATGCATGCCTATAATTCTGCAATTTGGAGGCAAGGATTGGTGGATCACGTCGAATTGTAAGACTCTTAATCCTGCTGTGCTAAAAGGCCATAAGATGGCAGTTAAACTAGATTTTGTTAACACATCTGTACGATACTTTGCTTTCTCCTATTTGATTAATGTCTCTGGGGACTACAGTTGCCTTCCACATTCAAAATACTCCAAAAAATAGAACTGGCCAAATATCCCAATGTAGAAACCTATTGTGGGGAGGGGGGGAGGACTAACTTAAAATTCAGCGAGGAATTTCTTGAAATATTACTTAACATAGCTTCCAATTATCCAACCTCCCATTGCGGCAGTAAGACGTACATTTCCTATATATTCTGCATATATAGCGGATACAACTAAACAGTACAATTCAGGATGTCACAATAACAAAGGCCCAAATGTATGAATTTGCTATGGGGGGGAGGGGGGGTAGCGAGGCTGTGATGGGCATGCAGCACAGGATTAAATAAATGCTGGCCTCAGTTAGCAAGCCAAGTTGATGAAGACGACTTCATGACCATCAATTTCCCATTTACAGAACATCTCGGCACTGGAGGACGCCACGCTATAACAAATGTTGTCCTTTGACGTCTTTTTCACATTACACTTTTGCTTATTCAACGTCTCTTAATAGCTTCTGTAAATATTGTTGAGATTATGTAGCATTAAATTGATATATAAATTTGAACTGTATTCGTCAATTAACTTTTCCTGTGGCATCACCGCCAAGGTTTGCCAAATCTGCCAAAATCCTTGCAAGTGTCAACAAATATTTAAACTTATGCATTTTTTTAAAAGCAAGACAGTTAATTGGCAAATATTAATTTGTCATACAATATAGTATATTTAATTGTTGCTTGTTTTATGCAGCTTCTAAAAAAGTGTTTATGTAAACTTTTCCACCAACACAAGACACTACCAGGTAAATATATTTTCAGCTGCAGATATTTCACTTCAGGAAAACCTTCAAGTTATTCTTCAACAGCCACTGACGTAGGCTTTCGAGCTCAAATTGTAAATGACGGAGACAAGAGGTGCCCAAATTTTTTGAGGATGACGATTGATAGGGGTAGGGACTTACATAGGTGATCTTCGAGTCACTCACTCGACAACCTACACCAAAGCATACACCGATTCGATACTGTCCATTAGTTACGCTAATAGCGACACTTTTCATTACACTCCACGCTCATTCACAATCAATGCTCTTGGCAATACTTCATAGCTCCTACATTTCTTAGTTGCTTTAAAGAAGCACATTTGAGGGAGCTGATCATTTGAAACCATTTCACCGATATATTTTTCTGATGATGTGGAATCCCTGACAGTCCAAGAAAGTGAAGTACCCATGTGGAGCCGTGCAAAAAACAACCACCAGAAACAGACACACATACACTCAGAGCACAGTGAAGAGATACCCAGTGGGGCAGGCGCATAACAAAATACAAATATGTTCTCGTAAATTTTGGCCAATACACATTGCTTCAGATCTGCTTCAACCAGAGAAGCACAAGCAGATGTTGTGTATGAGATATCATGGTCAAAGCACTCGCAAATGTTGCGTTCAAAGCAAGTTCTCTTCTGGGAAGACGGTATTCTCTGCCCTGTGCTTTATTGTCCACAAGCATGCAAGGGCTACCCAAATTCGTCCAGCACGTTAAGCAACGGTTGGAGCACATTGCAAATAAAACAAGATACAGGCGGTACTGTACCCCCCCCCCCCACTCGCGAGTGATGAACAAAAAACCCAACCCGACGTGGAGAAGAGACGTCCATGAGGAAAGTGTTCGGCTCCACCACGCGGTCAGCAAACAGAAATGCAATTTCAAAACGAATGTCTCTAGCTTTTGGTATTATACCTGATTACTGCATTACATTGTAAGTAACAATGCAACATTACACTGTATTTATACATGAATCATATTCATAACCATTTTTGCCATATGTATACTCTGGTAGTGCCTCAACAACACTTAAATTGTAAGATACATTAAGTTAATTCGAAAAAAAACAATTTAATTTGTACGTGTCATTGCTAAATGATACGTACAATTAACCAAAATAGAGCATCACCTAGTTGCTTGTGGTCGTAATAATCTCACAGAGGTGCCATATCAAAGGCTTTTTGGGGGTTTGGAGTCAAAGCTAACCTTAAAAATATCTGCACTAGGTCATGTACCAAATCAGACACTTCACGATTCCATGAACTTTTATGATTTTGGGTCAAACTGATTCAAGGATACATTGCAAAACATGTAGTCTGGTTTGCACTCTCATTAACCTCCATCTTATCTGCACAATTGCAATTATAACAAGTGCATATCATTTTCATGAATCGAAAAATCCATGCTTACCAAGGTGAGCATAAGCTGTTTCCAGAAATTATTACATGCCCAGTCTGTCCCTTCAGCAGAGTAAATTAGACCATACATGCTATGTTTATACGAATCAACTGCACACGCCATGGCCTCCTCAACAAAATGCTGCAGGCATCTGAGAAACTACATATCACATACTAGTGTTATAATTACTTGATGCTCCTCAGCTAAGTGCACAGGCAGCCAAGAGTGTATCACACGTGAGCGCAAGCTGCAGAATTATTTACCTATAGGTATTGTATCAAAACAATTACCTTTTTAGTTACTAAAATTTGCCTTTTCTATATTAATACGCATGTTTCTACATTAATACGCATGTTTCTACATTTTAGTTTTTAAACTTGCTTGGTTTGTTGGTGGTAAATGGTACACTTTTTAACCTGGGAGAGTGTATTAGTGAATTTAGAAATTGTGATGTTATGGTACTTTTACACACCATGTGGTTGGGAAAAAAATCAGTACATTCTGAAGAGCCATATTATAGATTACGTTAGTTATCATATGGTACTCTTTGGATCTTTCAGTAAAGTCACGTAGAAATAAAATAATAGAATACGACGTTTCGATTGCAACACAGTCATCATCAGGTAGAACTAAATTTGAGAGCGAGACAAAACACAGATACGGAGACACACAAACAGACAGAGACAACACAGAGACACACAGAGAGAGACACAACAGACACACAGCGACTGTGTCTATGTGTGTCTGTCTGTGTCTCCGTGTCGGTGTTTTGTCTCTCAAATTTAGTTCTACCTGATGACGACTGCTTGTGTTGCAATAGAAACGTCGTATTCTATTATTTAATTTATTTTCTTTCTACGTGACTTTACCAAAAGAACCAATGAGCAATTCCTGCGGTCACGAAAGCTTCAAATCAAGTTCTTATCATATGGTACTTTTACAGACACCATGTGGTCGGAAAAAAAGTCAGTACATTCTGAAGAGCCATATTATAGATTATGTTAAATGTAATTTCTATTTCTGTAAAAGCAAACTTGTGCACACAATGCTGTGTAAGGCACAAATGTGTGCACACACAGGAGTACATGTTAATTTGCTTAAACCAAATGTCTTGCCAATACGTTTAGTTTTGTGGTCAAGATGTGTAATATTCCAGGAAGCCTAGAGATGTATGCATCACATGGGCAAAAAATGTTAGCGGGCAAAAAAAAATCGCAACACAGGCTAATTCACAACCTTCTCGTAATCTCTCGTCAAATGGGATGTTAACATTGTTTCATAACCGAACCAGCTTTTGTTACATAAATATTTTTGCATGATGTTTTAAAGATGGGAATTTGGAATGTGCAATGAGAAATAAGAACATTGAAAACAGGCAAAAAACAGACAATTCCTAATTATATTGGCATCATGGAAATGTACTACGTGCCAAATCCGTGCCACCTTAGCATGATTTGCTGTGGATAAAACTGAAACATAAATGCAACTTTATTAAGAAATAAAATTTACAGCTTTTATGATACTTGACATTCGTAAGAAAATGTACGGATAAGCTGACTTAAGGTCAGATCTGTTTTCTTTAAAAGACACTTTCCTATTGCCTAGACTCCCTAGTTTATAAACATCCAAATGAGCACTCGTGCACACTCACGCACCACTGCGCACACAAAAGAAGTAGAGTAAAAGTGGCTCATGGCAAATCGTCTGCTCAAGTTCTACTCCATTCATCTTGCAAACCGCATTACGCGTTACAACAAATCATCATTGGGCACCACGACAAGTAACTCAACGACCTCGCAACGCTTCTGCACCTCGCGACGCTGCTGCACCTCTCCCCGCCTTCCCATCTCTCGGTTGACCATTGCAAGGGCCCAGCCCCTCACCACCACCACCACCTCCCGAAGAAAAACTCGCAGGCTGGTTTTAACGTGATTGCGAAGAGAGAACGAGACCGACGGACACGAGTGTTGAAATTTGACCACATGTGCCATCCCCTACTGCCTTGTATGCCGCGCATTCCGCCCCATTTCTCCACGGGGCTCTGCGGCACCGGGCGGACGGCGGTGGCTGCACAAAACATTTCTCACCAACCTCGGTTGGTGGGATTCGTCAGCTGTCCAGGATGCTGTTAACAGCCTCTTCCAGTGCCGAGTCCAAGGGTCCACCGGGTGCGGGGCCCGGCGAGAATTGTGGGAAGTCCACGGGGAAGGGTTTGTGGGGCAGCCCGTGCGGCGGCTTGGGCACGATGGCTGGCAGTGGCCGTAGGTGCGGGGGCGGCCTGGGCACACCACCACCGCCGCTTACGCCACCGCCAACACCGGTGGGCCCACCTCCGCCTCGGTCCTGTGGCCTCTGCAGGTCGAGGATGCTGTTGATTGCGCTCTGCAGGTGCTCTGTCAGTCCATCGTCCTGCGAGCTGTCGCTCGAAAAGCTGGCGTCACCATCGTCCTCGTCGCCCAGGCTCGGTGCAACGGCCGCCACGGCCGCCATCTTCACGGCCTCGTCCGCCACCTTAAGGCGGAGGCGCGCTGGCAACTCCCACGGGAGCTGCAGCACCGTGCGCTCCAAAGAGCGTTCAGGTACCGTGTCCGGCTTGGGCTTGGCCACCGCGGGCGGCGTGTGCTCGGTGTTCATGCCATTGCCGGGCTTGAATGTCAGCATACTGCTTGCACCGCTGCCACTTCCGAGGGTTGGTTTGGAGGCGTCCACGGTCGCTGGCACAGCGTGAAACGCTCCGATGGGTTTGACGATGGCCAGGCCGTCCTTGGCGCCGCCCATAGTAGAGTTGAAGGCGCCAGCAGGCAGACTGGCAATGCTACCCTTGGCCGTCTCGGAGGAGGAAGTGAACGTTGAGTTAATGACACCTCCCCTCTGCCCGCTCGCCACCTTCAGCAGCGTGTCGGTCTGGCCAGGGCGGCCGCGCCCCTCCTCGGACGGCAACGACAGGCGAGCCAGCTTGTGCCCGCTTGCGCCTCTCGCCCCTAGCCGTACCTCAGGCAACAACAGTGGGGAGAGGTCTGCCGAGCCGTTCACCTGCCCACTACTTGCAATGGGCAGAATCGGTTCGGACGGCCTCTTTGCGGGTGGCGTTGGTTGAAGAGAGGGCAGGGCTGGGGCTGCCATCGACTGCTGTTGTTGTGGCGGCGGCGGAGGCAGTGGTGGTTGCACCGTGGCTGTTGTCTCTGTTTTTACTGCGGTGTTTTTGATCACCACCCCGTATCCGTCGCCTTGTTTTATCTTCAGCTTGAGGCCGCCGCTGCTGCTGGCTACGTACGTCCGGTTGGCCGCTGGCACGGATGTGGAGGCTCGATCGGCTGCACTGGCGACAGCCCGATCAGGCGAGCCCACCATGCGCTCTTGCTTGATGACAATGCGAATGGGTGTCACTTGAGTGGAGCTTCGCTCCGCAACAGCACTCGCTGAGGTGACGGCGCTGGCCACACTGGGGGCCTGCGACGGGGCCTGGGCCGGGGCCTGTGCCGGGGCCTGCGCCGGGGCCTGTGCCGGGGCCTGCGACGGGGTTGAGGGGGTCGTCGTCGTCGTCGTCGTCGTCATGGTCGAACTCGTCGCGCGTGAGAGAGAGGCCAGGTATGCAGCTGTGGAGACAACAGTTATAAGTGTCCAAATAATCAGCTTGGCGTCTTGTACAGACTTACATGGAGGAATTGCACAAGCATACATACAACTAACTTTCAAAATATACACACCGATATATACATAACTTACCCATATACATTCAAACCACCATACTAAACACTCATACATTAACTAAACACACACCACACAAATTGACAATACATGTAGAGACTAAAAAAAACTCTGTTCCCAACATGAAAATCTTACCCAAAATTTTCCAAATCCTGTTTGGCTACCATGATGCAAACACGATCTGGGCTATATGTACGTAGAACCGCGCTAATCGGAGGTGCGGGAAGCTATCCCTCCTCTCCTCTACTAACGTACATACCAGGGTTATCCAGGGCCAGCCGCTTGTCGCTCATGAGCTCGGCCTTCTCCTCCTGGATGAACATCCGGTCCATCATGACCATCTCTGCAGACGGGCTCTCTCTCTGTCAGGGTAATACAAGAACTCGATGAGACGCGATGCTTTCTATAACATGCTTAAATGTGAATAACCATTGTACTGAGGGACAGGTTCCTCAGTGTATTCTACTCGACTAGTGAGGAAAATACAGATAGGCCAAAGTTACTTAAAAATATATTTTTCATGCACGCAATATTTTGCAAGGAAATCGTTGGTAACTGTTGACAAGTCAAGATTACAAAGAGAGAATTAAGTTTGTAAAATAATAATTTGCTTGCAGTTTTTTTTCTTCCGAATTGGGATGTAGGCCATTACACCAGCATGCAATTAATTATTAATTCATAAATTAAATATAAAAATATTGGCAAAGCATTAAAACATTCAAAACCATGGCTGTAGCGCAGACGCTCAAAGGCAAGACAAACAGAATGATAACCAACCACCAACCTAGCCGACACCAAAAACGATTGTGCGAGACAGGATTTTCAATATTTTGCTATCTACAGCATGCTTTAATATAGGTTTTGTGTGTAGACACTCCCAACGATGTACTGTAATGTGATGACTTATCATTTAATGCAAGACTAGTGGACAGCTAGAGTGGTGCGATCGTGCCAATATGTCGTGCACAGATGCAGGATTTTTTCACCGAAATTCTTCTGTGTAAATTTCACAACCATTCACCGACAAGCCTGCAAACCCCCTAATTAAGAAGCCCTCATTTGAGAAACAGATCCTAGCTGCACACTGGGTCCTTGTTAATCCTGAAGCTTTCTTACCCGTGCTTCCTCGAACAACAGCAGCCGGTACTTGTTGAGCATGGTCTGTGTACGATGCAGCAGTTCAGTGGAGACCGTCTCAAATTCCTCGTCCACTGCGGTTGCGAACATTGACAGTCAATAATTACACAAAGCAAAATTCAATGTACAAATATGAACACAAATATCCCCGTTGTCGGCTTGATGGACTACTCAAGGCGGTTTTGTGAGAAATGATTTGGCTTAACAAGGCACAAGAGGGGATTCCAAGTGTTAAATATTCTTGGCAATCTGTCTCCCCAATACTTATGTTGATCATACCCTTTAAGGCCAAATAAACCTGAGGCAAGGCCAGACGAGGTTCTGATACCACTTACCACCCAATATTATGTGATCGAGAAATGAATAAAGATTTAAAGTACAATGCGTGAACCACAGCAAGACCAAGTCCCCACTACCCTTCAGCTGTGTGTGTTAGTATAACCTACCCATAAAGACAAAGGCCACGCCCGTGTACAGCCTATACAATTTAGGAAGGTGCTGTTGGTAAAGACAGCACACAAGGGTGTGGTGTAACCAGCACCATATCTAGCCGCCTTTGTCTCGCCAGTGCCAATGCAAAAGACAAATATCTCCCATACAGGCGTAACAGTTGGGGCAAGTGCTGTTCGTGACATGGTACACCAGGGGTGGGGTGGCCAGCACCACGGCCTCAAAGGCCGATTCGACCTCGGGGAGGCCCAGGACCGGTTCAGATAATCGTCACTGGTGTTGGCCTTGAATGGGAATCGAACTCGGGTGGCCAGGTTTATAGCGCAGCGATCTAACCGCTGCACTACCGCTCCCCAGTGCACATACACACACAAACCTCGTGCCTCACCTTTGCTGAACTCATGCACAGAGGGCATGGTGCCACGGTACAGGTGGTAGGGCAGCAGGCGGCGCACGGCGTCGTGGTACGAGCCGAATGGCCGCCGGTACTCGGGTTGCAGCACAGCCTCCTGGTCTTTACGCAGCTGCTCCAGGAAGCTGTGGGAAAGCGTGCCCAGCAATGTCAGTCAACGAGCCGTGAAGAGACACAGGGCCAGGATAACGTTACAACGTTCTGCCACCTGCTTTCCCATCTCTTCTTGATTTACTCTCCTTCCTGTGCCCTCTGCTCCAGCAAAATGTTTTTGTTATAGTGGGGCCAGACCGGATATATCACTTGTTGTTACCACCTGAGGTAGTAACATTTTATTCGGTACTAAACTCTCTTTATACGTCCAATAAAAGTAGTTAGAAGATAACCTTTTCAAAATAGTGGGTTATATAAAGCACATTTATAGATCACAAAAAAAAATGTCCAGCAATAATCAATTTCTATTGTAACATCAACTAAGATTATCCATACACTGTTAAACGTTGGAACTGTCGACTCCCTTAAGTTCAAATCCAAAATGTAGTCTTTATTTTCGTCTACAATTATGACTTCATGTCGCTGTGGTACATTTCACTATTTAGTTTAATACTTTTTTTGTTCTCTCCAAAATCAAAGGGAAAAAAAACACTCCTCTTTCTTGGTCAATCCCTCCCTCATAATTAAGTCTTTCCCCCAAGCATTGTTACCCCATAATATTTAGATGCTTCAACAAGTCAAATTGTATCGTATTCTGTGTAAGTACAAGACGTGTATATTGATGTGAAGTATAGTGAGGGAAAAAAGTATTTGATCCCCTGCTGATTTTGTACGTTTGCCCACTGACAAAGACATGATCAGTCTATAATTTTAATGGTAGGTTTATTTGAACAGTGAGGGACAGAATAACAACAAAATCCAGAAAAACGCATGTCAAAAATGTTATAAATTGATTTGCATTTTAATGAGGGACATAAGTATTTGACCCCCTCTCAATCAGAAAGATTTCTGGCTCCCAGGTGTCTTTTATACAGGTAACGAGCTGAGATTAGGAGCACACTCTTAAAGGGAGTGCTCCTAATCTCAGCTTGTTACCTGTATAAAAGACACCTGTCCACAGAAGCAATCACTCAGATTCCAAACTCTCCACCATGGCCAAGACCAAATAGTTCGCCAAGGATGTCAGGGACAAGATTGTAGACCTACACAAGGCTGGAATGGGCTACAAGACCACTGCCAAGCAGCTTGGTGAGGTGACAACAGTTGGTGCGATTATTCGCAAATGGAAGAAACACAAAAGAACTGTCAATCTCCCTCGGCCTGGGGCTCCATGCAAAATCTCACCTCGTGGAGTTGCAATGATCATGAGAACGGTGAGGAATCAGCCCAGAACTACACGGGATCATCTTGTCAATGATCTCAAGGCAGCTGGGACCATAGTCACCAAGAAAACAATTGGTAACACACTACGCCGTGAAGGACTGAAATCCTGCAGCGCCCGCAAGGTCCCCATGCTCAAGAAAGCACATATACATGCCCGTCTGAAGTTTGCCAATGAACATCTGAATGATTCAGAGGACAACTGGGTGAAAGTGCTGTGGTCAGATGAGACCAAAATGGAGCTCTTTGGCATCAACTCAACTCGCCGTGTTTGGAGGAGGAGGAATGCTGCCTATGACCCCAAGAACACCATCCCCACCATAAAACATGGAGGTGGAAACATTATGCTTTGGGGTGTTTTTCTGCTAAGGGGACAGGACAACTTCACAACATCAAAGGGACAATGGACGGGGCCATGTACCGTCAAATCTTGGGTGAGAACCTCCTTCCCTCAGCCAGGGCATTGAAAATGGGTTGTCGATGGGTATTCCAGCATGACAATGACCCAAAACACATGGCCAAGGCAACAAAGGAGTGGCTCAAGAAGAAGCACATTAAGGTCCTGGAGTGGCCTAGCCAGTCTCCAGACCTTAATCCCATAGAAAATCTGTGGAGGGAGCTGAAGGTTCGAGTTGCCAAACGTCAGCCTCGAAACCTTTATGCCTTGGGAGAAGATCTGCAAAGAGGAGTGGGACAAAATCCCTCCTGAGATGTGTGAAAACCTGGTGGCCAACTACAAGAAATGTCTGACCTCTGTGATTGCCAACAAGGGTTTTGCCACCAAGTACTAAGTCATGTTTTGCAAAGGGGTCAAATACTTATTTCTCTCATTAAAATGCAAATCAATTTATAACATTTTTGACATGCGTTTTTCTGGATTTTGTTGTTGTTATTCTGTCTCTCACTGTTCAAATAAACCTACCATTAAAATTATAGACTGATCATTTCTTTGTCAGTGGGCAAACGTACAAAATCAGCAGGGCATCAAATACTTTTTTCCCTCACTGTATTGAGCCTGAAAGTGAATACGTACAGGCTCTCTTTGGTGAGCTGCACAGGGGCTGTCCGCTTCACTCCTCCCATGTGAACCTCCTGCTGCAGACAAACACGATTAATTAAATTACGATGACAACCAACAAGTGGGTCTCAACCGATCGAGCTACAAACGATCTTCTTATTTACAAATAGCAGATCTTTCCAAGGTGGAGGGAAATGGAGCACAATGCGCAAGTCCACTGACTGGTTTAAAGGTGTTCAATGATTCAAGGACTGTGCAAAGGTTGGCAGAAGCACTGAACTGAGCCACACCCTTGCTCAACATGTGGATCTGTATGGGTCCCTTCCTCGGCCCTAGGGGCAGCCGGGCAATAGTGCCAGATTTCACCTGTCCATCGTGTCAACACCAGAGTCAGCTTTCACAAGTGGCCTGGCCAGATCTCACACCAAAGTTGAAATGCTCAGCTGGGAATATGCCCAACAAATGTGAGCAATTTGTAGTTTATTGGAAGGATACTACTTCTTGAGTAACAGACTAATGCAACATAGCATATTGCATAATCATAAGTGTAGCAGTAAAATTTAGAGGAAACTGTCACTCAAGGTGTTTAATGTAATTCAGGTGTTGATATTTAGTGCAATACGCATTGCAATGCAAATTGTAATAAATTATAACAAAGCACTGAAACCATGCACTCTCATAGTGAAGTGCACCACATTAGACAGCAATAATAACATTTTGCTTTTGGTGTTTAGTTTGCTGTCCTTCACCCGCACCGCCGATTAGCACAGTTGGCTACGTACAGTGCGAAAGAAATACAACGTACATACATAAATTTTATTCTGGATACCGAATTTCACAAAGCATGGTGCCATGTTGGCCCATTCTGGAAAATGAAATATACACTCGAGTTAGGAAGCCACTGGAGCGATGCACTTTTAAATCTAAATTGAAAACGAATTTCGCTATAACTGTTGTGTTTAGTTTGTTCTTCCCCCGCACCTCCGATTAGCACGTTTGGCTACATACAGTGCAAAAGTACAACATGTATATATAACAAATACACTTTTAGGTCAAAAACAAGGGTCCTAATTAATTGTATCGGCAAAAAAGTTTTTACTAATAATGGCAAAATGCTAAACTATGCTGCTCTTTAACAAAGTAGAAGTACATAAAATACAGTGATCTAAAATCATGGGTGGATAAAACACGTGCATTTTTTTAAACCCTCAAACATACGAGGCTGAAAAGTATGGCAGCTGATAGCAATAAAGTCAGTTACTCTCTATATGGATGGATTTTATCTGGGTACCTTAGCTCTCCCACAAGCAAGATACTTTTTGAAAGAAAATTACAGGATCCTTATAGAAATCTCGGGACTGAGTCATTGCTATAAAAACAAATAAAGAATGGCATTACATCGAGTATTTTTTGTGCAAAAAAATGCAGAAAAGTTAAATCCCTTATGCAAATACGCTACTTTACCATTAAGTACTGATCACAGGTGCTTTGTCTGAGCACAAGTTGAATGCAGCTAAGTATTGCTCACATCCTGAGATGTCTGCTGTGGAGCCAGAGGCTTGAGCAGCATGGGCTGGCCCTTTCCCGACTGGCTCGTCCCCAAAGTCCCCAGCAGCATCGTTTTTCCATCCATGGACATCTGGCCAGGCTGGGTTGCTGTACACAAGGCAACGCACAGCACGGGTCACAATAGGCACCATCATGTTGCTATATCACATCCAATGACTGAAACATCCTGTTTAAAACATGCAAGTACACATTCTGACGCAGTGGTTCTTTCGGCACTTGGGTTACATTAGGAAACAGAGTATTCATATTGTTTGAAGGCACAGAGCTGAAGCTGTAAGGTATTTTCCAGTGTGCCAGAGTATGCAAGACAAATTGTTTGTTTGCTTAGCAGAGCTCTCTTTTGTCTAATATGGTCAGACTGCTTTTCTTATCCGATTCCACAATCACAATGGATGATTTCACTGCTCAATTAACACTGCTCAATGAGCTGTGCATTTAAGTGTATTTGTCAGATTAAATTATACCAGTAACAAACATGGAATACATTTTCAGGTAACAAAAATAAACATGTAAAAAATGATATTCCTTCCCCCCTCCACCACATGAGTATCTTACCCATGATAACAGTTTTGCCGATTTGTGTTCCCTGCTGCATCTCTGGCCTGACAGCCAGCCCAGGCGCAGTGGGGGCCTGTGCGATCGCCTGCATTTGACCACCCGACATGATGGTAGGCGCCTGCTGATGTTGATGTGCCATTGGGCTGCTGAGGATGATAGTCTGTTGGTGGGGCTGTGCGTTGGTCTGGGCAGCCATGCCTGGGTTCATCATCCCCGGCGTAGGCTGCAGCAGGGCCTGTTGTCGCCCCTGAAGAATTATCTTTTGTTGTTCCTGGAGTATCAGAAAGGGAGTGGAGGATTAGATGGAGAGGTGACATGAAAGCGTATTTGTGCAATCTCCAAGGGATTCACAAACATACTTGGGCAAAACTGCATAAATAACACATTTTGTTCTTCGTAAAACCTGGTTTGTGTAGGTGCCCAACAGCAGTTCCTCAAAGTCTTGAACACCATCCCGTAACCAGCACGCCATAGTAACCAAATGAAATGTTCTCATCGTTCCAGAAGATGGCCCTTTCTGGGCCCTGTGCTCTACTATAATGGGGACCCCCCCAGCATCACATCCATTCATGTGACCCACTAGTCAAGAGCACCTCAGTATTTTATGTACTCGAGATTTTTTGTTACAGAACAATTGCTGCCTCAGAGGTTGTCACGTAAAATAACCCCATCGAGAAAGGTAGTTCCTCCCCAAGAGCACCACAGCTCCCTTGAAGTAACTAAATTCCTTGGGCCCAGGACACAAGCAGCGTGAAGAAACCAACACCATGCCCCAGTATGATAAAGTACCGAGGAACTCAGGGCTGCGGGTGACGTGCATAGACATGATGCCAGGGCCCCAGTGTGGTAGAGTCAAGGGCCTCGAGGTAAATTTCTTGGTGCTCTCGTTTTAATTCTAATGCTCTATGGTGTGCTGGTTACGGCATGGTGCTCAAGACTGTGAGAAACATGCCGACAGCCATCGTAAGAAAAGCAATGGTTGCGCCACAATCTTGTGAAAAGCATTGCAAAGATAACGTTTTAAGTACATAGCTTAAATAAATAAACTTTTAATGTCGACATAAATATATATAAACCACAAGGCCACATAACACAAAAGCATGACCCCATAAGTGGACAGTGTGAATCAATGGCGGAGCCAGGATTTTCAGGTGGGGGGTAACCCCTCCAGCAATGGAAAATAATATTTGTAAGTAAGGACTTGTCCCGTGCTTTTTATTCGACGCGTGTGCGGCGATGGCGCAGCCATCGATCGAGGGTCGAATTCGAGCCGTGTGTGATCGGCATCGCGCTCGCTGAAGGTGTGATGCCTTCAGGGAAGTCGTGTACTGTATACGCAATTGCGCACAATTCTGAGTCACTTATAACTGCTTTGCCATTACTTGTTGCCAATTATAGACTCAGACTATTGTCCTATCATCTCAGAGTCCCTGGCACGTAATAATATGCTACACAGTGGCAGTGGGGGTCGCAAAATGCCGATTTATTACTAATAAACCCCAATTATCATTGAGGGGGCAAGTGCCACCCCCCCCCCCCCACTGGCTCCGCCAGTGGTGTGAATGCATAGTCCTACTAAGGTTAGGCACACTAGACCAAATCAATGCAGTAGGAAAAACTCCCAAGTTTTCAAGCTTTATATAGTTTTCCACATTTAATTCCTTGATACATTCACTTATTACACAATAACATAATGGACACTAATCAAAGTAGTAGTAGTATACATTTTCAACTGGAAGCAGGTTTATATAATTTTAAGGCCACCTTCCGGCTTTTAAGCCACATTTTTTTTAATATTCCCGAAATTATATTCATTTCCAAGACAAGTATTGTTTAACATCTAGGCTTCAGTTGCCGGCAGGAAGCAGCCCCAATCCCAATCAGACCAATACTATATAGACTATCTACTATTAGCCAATGGGTTGCTTCCTGCAGGCTCTCGTCTCATTACTGTGCATAACCAGAAAAAAAAACGTGCTACAAGCCACTTAAATGTGGACCTCGTGCCTCCAAGTGATGCCACATACTGACCTGCTGAATGTGCTGCATGATAATCTTCTGCTGTTGGTTCGGGTTGGGCACGCCACTCAGGTTCTTCAGCTGCAGTATCAAGTTTTGCAGTCTCTGCTGCTGCTCTGGCGTCAACCTTAGCTGCAGCGTGGCTTGCGCCTGCGGCGGATGACTCATCACCTGCTGCTGCGCTATTACGTGCTGCTGGCCCATCACATGCGATTGTCCCAAGATTTGTTGCTGCTGCTGCACCTGTTGTTGCTGTCCCAACACTTGAGATTGACTCAGAACCTGCTGCTGTTGGGCCATCACCTGAGATTGCTGTCCCATCACTTGCTGCTGCTGTTGCACCATCAATTGAGGCTGCCCACCAGCCACTTGTGCCACCATTGTGTGTGATTGTACCATCATGTGCTGCTGCTGCTGTTGCAACTGCAGTTGCTGGGCAATGGCAGCTTGAGCGTGCAAGCTCTGCTCGGTGGCCGACTGGAGGCCTGGCTGGCACAACACTCCCTGCGACGGCGGCTGGCCTCCCATCATTGGGGCGGCAGAAGCTGGGCCCATCATGGCCTGCGTCACCACTGCCTGGGGCTGGCAGAGTGTCTGGCCGGAGACCGGTTGCGGTGGTGCCAGAGGTTGCCCCCCCTGTTGAGGTAGAGAAGAACCCTGCGAGGTCACAATCACCGGCTTCTGCTGGCTGGTCACAGTCTGTGGAAACGCATCGAAATGAAAATGCAATGTGACAACCTCGTTATATATGCACAAGTGAGTAAATTGTTACAACTAAAATAAGCATATTGACACACATGGTCTCACTAAAACCCAGAATAAACATCCCAAGGTGAACTTACAAGTTTGGTTGACCTTGAGACTTTTGAGGAACAAAAATCTCAGTAAACACAGATTTTACCAATTTCAGATATGACAAGCTCTTTGTGACCACTTAGGACGCAACTTTAAAACACAATTAAACCGAAAAACAAACCTCATATTTTACAAATAAGTACATAGGACGTTTTCCCAGGACTGTCTCAAGTTTGAAGCCTCGTTAATACTAAAAAATCCTTTAAAACTACACTCACATGGAAGAAACACAGTTTGTGTAGGTCGACTTCAGGGCTGTTTTTACACAATAAAAAAGGGGCAACAATGTATAAAATAGATTTTTGTTTGGGATAGTGTAAGTGAACCCACACATGCATCAATTTTTTTATAAGATCGCTTTTCTCCAGTTGCAGATAAAATGGAGGAAGGGAAGGGAGGGTGAGCCTGCATTTATCGGCTCACCCCCCTTCGCAAACCATGTTAGGCCAATCCAGGTAAGTGAAATGTTTTTCTCATCCGAGGCAGCCGTCGGCTTGTTCTGTACATCATGATGCTGTCCCTCACCCTCCAGTTGCTCCTGTACCTGTCTGTGTCTCGAAAACCTCCTGCACCCACTTCCAGGTATAAAACCCTTTGCAATTCCATTAGTGAATGTGGAATAAGAGACAGAACTCATCCAAGACTACAGCAAGAGCCTCCCAAACAAGAGGACCTGAGCCCAGCTTCTCCAGTATGCTGGTCACCCTTCAGGCCATCTCAAAAAAACATTACATGCCCCCCCTCCTACCTCTATTTCTGCCCTGCACAGTGGAAGGGATGTGAAGGGGGCAGGTCACACCTACATTCAGTCTGTGAAGCAGGGATCACTATTGGAAGGAAACCCTAGACTCATGAATTGAGATTATTTTATTTGATTGAGCTGCTATAAATTTCCACAAAAGGCACTTTATTGAGCTATCATTTGTGGCCAGGTCACTTCTGAATAATAAGTTAATACCTCAGCAGGCTTTGCCTGGTACAATGTGGATGGTTTAGTTTCATTTGAATGTTTTTGGGTGATTTGTTTACCTTACTTGTACTTTGTACAACTATCGTGTTATTATATTGTGCTGTTGTAACATTCTTATCAGCCACCACCAGACATCTGTGAAAAAGAGCGTTATAACTCATCGGATTCCTCGTATAAATTAATATTTTGATTCTGTCCCTGCCTGCCAGGTCTGTCCCAGAAAGGTTTGCTCCTCATGACAGCATTGCCTGCTCAAGCAAGGCTGTTCGATGCTCGTGGAGCCTTGCCCTCTAAAGCAGCGGTCCCTAACCTTTTTGGCACCAGGGACCGGTTTCGTGGAAGACAATTTTTTCACGGACCGGGGGGGGGGGTCATCATTGGGTCTTCCCCCCTTTTCAAAGAAGCTCTCCAGCAATGTTTTTTTTTACTCATGTTGGCTAGGGGTTAGCTTGTGGGCTTACCAAAACTGTGACTGAGACAAGTGCGCAGTGCGGGAAAGAGGCGCGGACGGAAGTGGTAAATAAAATAATGGGCGGGCCACGTGCGGACTCACCACTCACCTCCTGCTGTGCGGCCCGGTTCCTAACAGGCCGGTACCGGTCCGCGGCCCGGGGGTTGGGGACCCCTGCTCTAAAGGGCCAACATGGGGCTACCATGAGGTGCCTGCCAGTTCACAGTTATCCTTGCCTTCTTTTGGAGTAATCACCTGACACTTTACAGTCTCCTAAGGCTCCCTATTTGAATTAAATATTCAAAACGTAACAGAATAACCTCACTATCAATGAGCTGTACTCTCTTGAAACAAACATGAAAGGGCTTCAGATCCTGTATAAACGCTAAGAGAGGCTACTACACCAAATTCAGACTCATTCGTGCACAGGTCAGGCTAAAAATATTAAGTGCAGTTTTGAGTTCAGGTGCCACTGCTGTCATGTACACGACACAGAACTCATTCATAACGACAATTCCTACAACACCTTACTCATATTTAATTAAAGCCAACCATACATTTTCCATATTACAAATGGTAACCACATTAAAACCACACAGGCCCCTGAAAAACGGGGACCCTAAAGTGTAGCACCTTCAGACACAACAATTCATGATGTCAACCCCCACCAAGATTTGAGTTTGCAAGAATGCTTTCCTGCATACGTGTAAGATGATCCCTTACCTGTTCGTATCGATGCTGGACAGAGTCTGGGCTTGGAGCCGGGGGAACGGGCCCAGCTAAGGAGCCGCCCTGAGGGGTCATCCTCTCCTGCGCTGGAGTCATTCGATCCGACACAGGAGTAATCCGGCCCGAGCTCTGGGACATCCCCACCGGGGACATGGAGACTTGCCTCAAGCCCACCGATGCCACCGGTGTTAGTCCTGGATGCTGTTGCTGAGATAACGATGCAGGCGATCCCAACATCCCGTCACTGCCAACAGGTCCAGTTGTAGACATTGAAACAGGAGCCTGATTAGCTATGGGCACTGACAGTTGCTGCTGCTGTGGCGAAACCAATGCTTGCGCTTGTGACGACGCTACAGTGGGCACGGTTATTTGGGGGCCTCCAGTGGCAAGGTTGCCACCGCCAAGCAACGTCAGCTGCCCAGGCACGCTCGTACACCCTCCACCGATGCCCGAAACGACCGTTTGCTGCGCTGAAAACGTAGGCAGTGTGGCGAACTGGGACACAGCACCCACCATGCCAGGCTGATGAGCGGGGATCTGGAAGGCCACCTGGCCATGCTGCAGCTGTATCGAGCTGGTAGCCAGCAACTGCGCCGCTCCCTGCTGCGTCAAGATGTGCCCACCAAGCACCTGGCCAAGACCGCCGTGCGCCGAGATGAGTTGCCCGGCCGCCATCGGTGCCCCCGACAGCGCTGCTGGGTTGGAGAGTAACTGCGAAACGGTGGGGTTGCCGAGTAGCTGGCTCACAGTGGTCTGGCTGAGCAGCTGGTTCATGGCTTGCGTGTTAAACAGCTGCCCGTTAACACCAAGTGTCTGCCCCGCAGCTGACACGGGCATGAGGAATTGGCCCTGGGTGCCACCAGGCTGTTGGATGACAAAACTTCCTGCCTGGTTCACAATCTGAAGACTAATGGGGGGACGGATGGCTGACGCTTGCTGCTGCTGCTGTTGCTGCTGTTGTTGCTGCTGAGTGGTACTCTGGTGATTTTGCAGCACAGTACTCTGTCCAGCCTTTGTTTGCAAGAACTGCTGCTGCTGTTGTTGTTGCTGCTGTTGATGTTGCTGTTGTTGCTGCTGCTGAGCAGTCACATCCTTCTGACCCTTGCCGGGCATCTGTAGCGCAGGGCTGCCTGGCACCGGTGGTCTCTTGGGACTGATCTGCACCAGCTTTGGTTGGATGGTGACGGGGCCCGGCTTGGGCTGGATGGGCGTCTGCGGCCTTTGCAAAACCACAGCCTGGGGTGCCACAGAAGTGGGCACCACCGCGACGTGCCCGCCGAATGCTGGGCGCACAGCCCCCGCAGTCGCCGCCGTGGCAGCAGCCTGGTGGCCACCGGGGGCGCCCACTGGGCCGGGGCTGGTTCCAAACAACGCTGGGCTGCCATTCACAGTGGGGATCTGCACCGATAGGCCCTTCTGAAGCACCAGGCCCCCCTGCACACAGGACACACGGAGACAAAGGGTCCCTCTTTTGGCATGCAGAGAAACCACAAGGGTGAGCGCATAATCGCCTCTTGAAACCAACATGGTAAATGAGGTGGTTGAACCTGGAACCCCACCTGCCTGCCTTCAACCAGTACGTTTGAGGCAAGGGTCAGTGGCTAAAAATGTAGTGATACTCCCAGACCTGATGACCTGCGACATAGCCAAACTGCAATTCAGAAGCCAGGTTCAAAAACCTGTCTGTGTTTGGACTATTAGAGTGTTATCCCATACTTAGGTTTTTTTCTGCTGAATACTATTTTCTCCAACATTCAAAACACTGCTTAAAAGGAATTTGCCAAAATACAAATGTAGAAACATTAGTATTGAGACGAAGGCTTTCCTGAATTTAAATAGATTTGCATATGTAATCAGTATTATTTGGCCTCTGAAGCAGAGATGGATTATAAGATGAGTCACCTATGGGAGGCCCAAGCTAAGTCATGAGGTTATGATAATAATACACAGAAATTATATATTTTCATTTGCTTCATCGCATTAGGGGTATTTCTCTCATATACCCGGTTATAAAGGTGTTAATTATTAATCACATAGCAATAAAAAAAGTGAAATGTTTATGCCAAAATTGAGTAGAAACGTAATTTAACAGTAGGAAAGTCAAAATCATTAGCAACCCCCCCCCCGCCCATGTAAAAAACACGGGATATATCATGGGCATAAGAGTATCTCATAATAGTGGAATGAGAGCTACATGTAAATGCATTGTCTTGAGTGGTGTATTATTTTATAACTGACAAAAACCAGGACTATTCATGCCTAGGGAAGACTTAAAGATGTCCAAGGACAAAAACCCCTAAATTATGAAAATCCTTTGAAAACTTGGACAGGTGGAAACCCTAAGCACTCGCGAGTTTGTCTGTGACTGAAGAGCAAAGCTCCCCCTGACATGCTGATGACAATGCAATAACACAACAAGAAGGGCAGGTTCACAGACCAATTTTATGAACCGATATCGTCCAGCCACCTCACAGCCAAACGAATTCATGAGTTTCCCAAATCTACATGATTCATGAACCAGTGACTCCAAATCGCGACTCCAATTAACACGTACGGTGCGAAAGAAGTTCAACATACAAACAAACAGGCGTGTGCTACGATGAAGAGATTCTAGTGGGAAATTCCTACCTACCCCCCTACAAAATCTTTGACAGGGAGACCCACCTGTTGCTGTGCTTGCTGGGGGCTGGCACAGGGTGGCGGTACAGGTGGGACAGCCGGTTGGCCCAGCGCCACCACAGAGGGACCCAGCACCTGGATGGGCGCAGCGGGCGAGGCACCAGCCTGCAGGGCCACGTTGCCTATGCCCAGCTGATGGATGAACTGAGGTACACCACCTGGAAAAGGCAGGGTCAGACAAGGCAATGTACAGGTGAAGCACAGGCAGACAAGTAGCAGAAATACGCAGAAAAAAGTGAACAGGTGTAAGCTATGACAATTTATAGATGAATGCACAGTAGACTCCGAATGAGTCATCACATTGTCCAGGATTCATCACATTGTCAATGTTCCATGAACATTAATGTATGGATGAATTATATTAAGAGGCGTTTTCTTTGAACATTCATCAATAATATTTCGTTTTAATTAATTAAGTGTTCTTGCTTGAGTTTTGTAATCGACGGATTTGAGGTAACTCAACAGGATGAAGAAAAATAGATATTAATAATAGATTAAATATTGACTTAAACAACAAATAATTAAAATGTGTAATGCCAGTGTTAAAATAATGAAATAACAACAGTTGGGGACACCCTGTATCTTGTGTTCTTGAAATGTGGGCAAATATCATGGGGTGGGGGGGGGGATGCTTTTGGCTGGGACAACCTAAAAATGTCAGAAGAAATTCAAGCATTTTGAAAACTGCACTCGCAAAGCTCAACAGTGGAAAGCAATGTCGACTTGCTATTTGCATCTCCACGCCGTGCAGCAATGTTACTTGTAAGCCAGTCCCAGTTTAGAAGCGTACTACATATCATCAGCTATCGATTGCACCTTCCAGAATGGGCTTATGATTTTTGGCAGTTCATGGTTTTTCACCTTTATCGGCTTTTTTATATTTCTGTTGTATAAAAAAAACACGCAATATAAGCTACAAATGGAGCTTCAACGAGTATCATGGAAATAACGTTTTATTTTGCATAGAAAACGGACCACCTGGGAAGCCCCCCCACCACCGCTGAGTTAGCCTGGTACTTTGAGGACACAGTTAATCACTGGAGAAGTAAACCAATTCTAACTGCTCTTCTTTTATAGCTAAAAGTAACAATCAACCCATATTTCCCCACGTGTCATTTTACAGCAAAAGTTGGCGGTGCACCTTGTAAATTCGGCGAGTGTGTGACCAGATTTGTATAACTTTATTGACACCGAGGACAAAATTTACTCTCCGGAGAGACGTATGAATAATACGAGGAATTCAGTAGGGTAATTGTGTTGCACCTGTGAACGCGCCGGGCTGGGGTTGTTGCTGCTGCACCAGGCTGATGGTCGCCTGCGGTCCGAGCCCGCCCAGGTCAACAGCTGCACCCGGAGCAAAGATCTGAGCGCCGTCAGGAGGGTGCGCCGTGGCAACAAACGGCTGCACAGGTGGCACGGCAGCAGCGGCGGCTGCGGGCGTGTGTGGTGCCATCCCTGCTGGGTCCCCGCCGCCGGCCACAACACCATCACCCTGGCTCTCCACCGAAGCGGACGGCGCCAGCGTTGCTTCCTGAGCGGGGCAGGAAAGCAAAGTTTTAACTCAAAAGCACAACGACTTTGAAATGTGGCTGGCTTTGAAGGGCGCGTATTTTTTCAGGCATGTCAAGCAAATGAACTGCAGTCGTGTAAATGCTGCAAACTCAAAGAGCATGGCTAGTGGGTGCGAAGGGTATTGAAACAGTCAAATCGCATATTTTATGCGATTTGCAGGTTATTTTTCTGGTAAAAAATAATGCCTTGGTACTGACACTTTAGAAACACATTGTTTCCTTTTTTTATTTTATGTTTTTCAATCTTCTGGACATTTAGTACGATCCTTTCAAGATTTTTGTGTTTAGTTTGTTGTCCTTCCCCCCGCACCTCCGATTAGCATGGATGGCGATGTACGGTGCGAAAGAAGTTCAACATACATACATTAAAAGGCTGAGAGTTTAGTCCCAGTTAGAATTCTCCTCAGACGTTTGTTCTGATGGAGACTACAAAATGAGTATCACATTGTGGGATAGTCACCAGTAGTTATCCTATGGAAAGGCTCTTCCCTAGCATATATGGACTCTCCACCACCATCTCAGAAACACCAAGAGAAGCGAGCACTACCCACTGCTTGTGTGAGCAAGGCGAGATGAATTATTTATTTGTAACGTAATGGGCTGCTGAATGCTATGTAACATCTCAGCAAGCCTATTACATTAATTGCAGTGGGAGTTGATCCATTTCCCTCAACTCGTGTTTCCACTGAAAACTGAACTTTCAAATGTTAAATTTTGATTTAAAGCTTTCATGACTGCAGGGATTCATATTTTTGGTTCTTTCGGTAAAGTCACGTAGAAGGGAAACAATAAAATAATAAAAATATAAAACAATACAATTCTCACGACGTTTCGACTGCAACACAAGCAATCATCATCTGGTGTGAAAATTTTCTTGCTGGTATCAGGTGTGAAAACCACAGCAAGAAAATGTTATTGCTGTGGTTTTCACACCTGATGATGATTGCTGTGTTGCAGTCGAAACATCGTGAGAATTTGATTGTTTTATATTTTTATTCTTTGTTTCCCTTCTACGTGACTTTACCAAAAGAACCAATAATATTTTAAATGTTACTCAAAATGACATGTATATACGTCACAGAAAATTCAATGAGCATAATTGTGAGCATTTTTTTCAGTAATCAAAGGGTGGTATATTTAACGATGTGCGTGTTTATGTTGCACAAAGGCCAGTGATGTGTAACGTTGTCAATGTAGACCCAACCAGCGACCCATGAGCCCTTTTCCAACAAAGAGCTGTCGTAAGTGGTAATGGATATCTGTATGGCCACACTATGAATTATTCAAAAAGGAAGCCATCCAAGCCTGTTTATTAAATATATGCCCCTTTGGGTATATGTTGCTGAAACAGAAATAGCAAAAAATACTGCACATGCAATAAAGGCACAAATAAATTTCAACACAGCAGAATCCTAGATGTGATAAAAGCATGCGACCAAGTAAGGTCTGTGTAATACAAATGCTTTACATGCGTGTTAAAATGTTTATATATTTATTTAGAGGCATGTAACAATTCATTCAGAAGACCAGGAATGATATTTACTGGCCATAATTGTGAATAAACATTTCCCGAATGAAACATTTTTTTACGTCAAAAGATTCACCAGTAGACTTTCGCATATTGGCCAATGAAATTCCACAGCTTAGCCAGATACAATGTAATTTTCAAAACAGTGTGGGTTCATCGTGTCCAAATGCGATCATACCACCGTCTTGTCAGCCAAGCTGCCAAAAGAAAATGGCGTCTGCAGCATGATATAGACAATAAACACTGCATGGGCTTCATAAATAGCGAGACAGCCCAAGTTGATTACAGATTGTCATTTGTTAACTATCATCCCTTCAGCGCAAGTAAATATGTGTGGCTTTGTAGCAAGCCCAAAGTAGTTGTCTCATGAAGAGACCAGCCCCTGCCACGGGAATGAGTAATTTCTACACCTGGTTCAAGGCAACCTAAGGGTAGGAGTGCAACTCCCCGCTACTCATCGGAGCAGCGAGAAGCTTTAATTTTTCTACTATTCTTTATTAGTAACTCGTAAATTTTTAGAATAATTTCAAGACAGATGCATGCAAATATAGGTTTCTCCTACAAGAATGAACCAACTTTAAGGTGAACTATAAGGACATGATTCACTCACTAAAATTATTATGCGGAGGACACAGATTTCAATGAAGAGCTGCAATTATTAACTACCTAATTCATTATTCTATTATAGCTCAAAACATTTGGGCACAAGATGGATATCATTTGCATAATAAACATGTTTCACACACAAGGCTCAAAATGGGTTTTTAGCATAGAGTTTAATGAAAATTTGTATCACTGGTAATTTTACCAACTACCACATTAACTACGCGTACATTACTCTATATGTTGTTGACCTTGTAAAAACACTGAAAGATTGTTGAAATAATGCACTCTGAAACTAACAACAATTTTTTTACTTTTTGTTCCAGTTGATAGGTCGGTTACAACTATTTCTTTAAGGCTGATGTAAATTGTCTATTAGAAGCACAATACAACAAAACTAGCTTTGACAGTGCCAGCGTTGTCACTATTGTGTCACGCTGGCCATGCACTGCGCTGACATTTCCACGTCGGGGAGACTGGATTTCCAGCGTCTTCCAGTTTAAAATGGGTGCCGATCAATAGATATTTTTTTTTCATTTCAGCACCAATTCAATTATATTGAAGAATGGATTATTTCCAATTCATGCGGGATTTGCTTCATGGAAACCTTTGCAGATACTACAAGAGTCGACATGCATCACAAGGGCAAACAATATATATACATACATTTGTTAATGAATTCGTAAATTTCATTAGAATTCATCAAATCGTTACATTTTTAGTGAAGTGGGACAGTCAACCAAAGTACAAAGTCCGTTCTCATCAACACAACCAAACTTGCGAGCCACACAGCGCAAGAGTCGGCAACGCATGTGTGCACCTGCAGCGTCTGCTGGGTGATGTTGGCCTCCTGCAGGGATTGCTGCAGGATGTCGCACGGCTGGCCGGACGTGTGCTGCGCCAGTGGCACGGAGCTGGGGTCAAAGTCGTCGTCGGAATCCTCGAGGAAGCGCAGGGTGCTGGCAAAGGGGTCCTCTCCCCCACCTCCCGCAGCCTCCCCCAGCCCATTGTTCACGTGGTTCCCAGGGGAGCCCGACGTCTGTGTTTGACGAAACAGAAGAAAAAAAGAGAAAAAAACATCACGGTAGAGTCTGTGTATATGGTGCGCAGCCGCAGAAGTCAGTGGAGGTTACCGGTTTGATATAAGGTCAGCGATGGTTTTTTGTACGTAGTCACTTTAACCTCTCTCACAAGTATAATTTCCTTTTTTACAGTGGCCACATTTGCTAGACATTACATAACAGCATTGACATCGCACCTCTGATAAGCACGGTTGGGTATGAACGGTGTGACAGAAGTTCAACGTATATTTCATCTGGTAGTCACACCCATATTTTCAACAGGATGTGAGGGAGGTTCTTTCAGTTTCTTTAGTTACAGTATATGAATTTTACAATATTTCAATTGTTACCATTGTGGTAAACGTCTTCCCATTGCGAATGTTTTCTATGTTCCTTGCTGCTGGAGCACTGCTAATGACTACAAGCACCACATTTGCATTTTTTGTCTCGATTGAAGGCAAATTACCTACATTTGAAAATACCCAAGACAACGAGCGTGGGATCCTATTCAAATAAAAAAAATCAAGTTGCTCCGAAACGCCGCAAGAATCGATGTAAAGGGAGGCACAACAAACAACACATCCATAGAATAAAGCACCTCAACCTATAAAAGACGGTTTAGACAGACACTGCTCCTATCACTCAGTCCCATAATTGCGACAACAAGACTTTAACTCAATGAGCACAAAGAGAATAATTCGTCTAAAATGAAAAAGGTACAAAAAAACAAACTATTTTAATAGTGCAGCGTACACTGAGCAACACATCTCCTTGATGGGGCCGCATTAGCTTTGTGAGGCGAGGAACAAGACTGCGTGAAACGCGATGCTAACAGCCCGCAAAATGTATAAATGCACAAGCGCAAGTGTTTGTGTCATTTAAACGGTCGTCAGGTCAGAATGGAAAAAATCATTAATGGCGTTACAGGGGACAAAAGCGCTCTCCGCGCGCGCGAGACAATCCACCTAATGTGCTAAATGGAGTAAACGAGGTCGGGCGCACTCACGAGTTCGGCGAAAAGACCGGCCCCGTCACCCCCTAGCAGATCATCATGGTCCAGCTCCTGCCGAAACACAGCAGCAATGTTGTCCGTTACACACGCCGCTTACTCCGCTCTACCGTACGTGCGTAACGTCGCGGGGAGCGCGGTGCCACCCATTGTGCTGTGGCGTTGTCTGTCAAATGAGCACACGCTGGGATGCAGAGTGAACTGTCAATACTAAATGCATTTGCCCATTAAGGTCGTTATAGACAAATGTATTCGGAAACAAAGCACTACTTGTTGCAGCAGAGCAGCAGTAGATTGCGGTAGAGTTGAAATGCTACATCAACTCCTAGGCTACCAGTACGCACACTTATAAAGTGAATGTAAGAATTGGTTATTTCCAAATCATGTCGATAATATTTATACCACTATAGGTACATACTGTTCTATATACGACATCCACAAGGGGGTTAAAAATCATTTTATTTCTGAGAATCGAATTTCGTCCACAAATCGTAAAATCCAGTATGGATAAAATAGTCAATGTATTTAACTGCGGCATTGCTTGTTACACAAAAGTACACAAAGGGACACAACACTACCTGCTACAACTTGACAATTCTCATGAATGTAGGGTGCAGCAATGATTAGCGCCCTATGCTTTGAACAAACGACCCGAGCTTGATTCTCGGCCACAGCTAACATCATTGGCTTATAATATCTGAACTAGTCCTACCGCCCACCCCCCAAAGAAACCTTCGGGACTAAACGTGGTACAGCCTGGCCAGTGGAAACTCTTTCTACAAATAATGTAACGAGGTGGCCTTATAGGTGGCTGTCACAGGATGCATTCTCATTGACAGGTTGTCCATCATTCTCCAGAGGGAACTTCTATTCTACTTGAGAAGACAGATACAATCCCATACCTTTACAAAAATGATCAAAAACATATAACTTGGGTGGGATACATCCTCAAAGGTAAAAAGGCAGACTTTAAAAAGAACATGGGACCCATTCTTAAATAACCATTGTAAGCACCCCTCACGTCTGTGCCCATCGGGCCCAGGGTCACCAGGACAGGTACCCTTGTTAATTATGCGAGATCCCCCTCCACCACCACACGAGCCAACATGCTCAGCTCCTTGCCTTCCCATATTAGCGACTCCTCACACCGCTCCAACACCCCTTTTTTCCCCACCCCACGCATGTTTATTTTGAGAAAAGAACGGCCAACCCTGTAAAATCCCAACAATGAGTCTTGTAAATAGGGATGGGTATGACCTGTAACGCCGGACAATACGTGTATTACTTTAATGTACCATGCATCCTAAATGTAAATAAAGGAAATCTTCAAAAAAACATAACTTGGGTTATTTGCCCTACCTTTTGGAATGGAGACATCAAAAAAATATAATAAATGGGTATTTGCTGACACTTGAATCAAAGTGTGGTTTATAATATGAACATTAACACTCATACTTTCATATACGGAGTTAATATCCCATTTTAGGTCAACAGAACATATGTCCTAGCCAAATTTAACCACATCTGCGATTTACATGACACAATTTATAGCCGAGTGAATTATACATCAGACGTCAAAAGAACAAGGGAAAAACATGTGCGAGATCATGGAATTGTGATTTCCACTGTAAACTGCTTCACTACTACTTCGACTGCTTCCAGTTGGATCCCCCACTCATGGGTGGGTAGTTCTCCATATTCTCACCAGACAGCTAGCTTCAAATCCAAAAACCAGAGATCAAGATGTCAATTCTGCTAAGTTCATGCAAATGTCACACCAACGCCAGTGCACAGGCTAATGCAAATTGCAATGAACGTGACAAATGTAGAAAATTGTTTGGAAATGTGGTTATCAAGCTGACGACTACAGAAACAAGGCTTTACAGTATCAACATGACTGTGTTCGCCATTGCCCCAGATTCCATGAATCACTACCCTGCCAAGGGCACTACACACTCCTGTTTAAGGTGTAAGAAGTGCAGAGTTGGCGATCATTTAACAGGGCAATGCGAGTTAAAGACGCTCCTGCTGAGCAAAGTACTGAAACTCACCGGGTGTTCAGAGCCGTGCAAAAAGTCATTCAGGGCCTGTGGATCCCTGCAAGAGAAATCAAAGGAGCAAAAATTATTCAGGTAAGGTGAAATGTGCTGTTACCAAAGTTGAAGTGAAATAAAAGTAAAGTGTAAGTAATGTCCGTAGGCCTCAGTTATGTGTTGTCACTGAACATCCTCACAGTGGCTTTTGGCTAACCATCGAACAAAGCCGGTCACTGCATCGCATGCTTTCAGACGCGCTTCTGCGGCCATCTGGAACGCACTTCCTTCTGATATTAGGAAGCCACTGGAGCTATGCACTTTTAAATCATCCTATTTGAAAATTCATTTCTTTAGAATTGAGTTTTACGTTTAGTTACGTTAATAAAGTTTGTTGTCCTTCCCCCGCACCTTAGCACAGTTGGCTACGTACGGTGCAAACAAGTTCAACATATATCCATATAAGTTACATGTAAAACAACATCGCATTTTTATAGGCACAATTTTGTAGGTGGTTGCGTATATGGTAGAAGTAGCAGAAAACGTCTAGAAATGTATTGCTTCTGTCAGAGAACTACAAAAAAAACTGCAATGTGGAACCTGCCTTGTTTACAAATCTATAATCATAGGAACACAGTGCAATCTAAACTGCACTTCTGACATTGTTGGATGTAGTCACACTAGTTACATGCAGAGATGGGTACCGAGTAAAGGCTTCAGAACATTTGTAATGGAGAAAATGACACACTGGGAAAACTGGAAAACTGCATGCTGTTGTATCCAAACACATTTCCAAAGAGATATCACCACATGCACTATATTAGCAATCAACTTTAACAAGTCATGACTTCGGATTCGTCGTAACGATACAATAGCACTCAGTGTCGATTGCAATGATGTATTACACTAAAAAAGGTTTGAACAGAAAGAGGCTATTTTTTTTTCGAAATGATGGCGAATAAAATGGTAGAAATGGCCAACAAGATGGTGGAAACAATACTGTTACTTAGGTTATGCAACGTTCAAAATCTGGGGCGATCTCCTAGCCACCAGGAATGATTAAGCCTGATCATTAAGTTACCTCTCTTTGATCCACCCAGGCAAAACGAGATTGACATTTGCAACTCGACAACAGGCCTGGACTACGATTTATACTTGAAAACTATTTATATTTTAATTAGCAGGTCGTGTTTAATTATTTTATCACACAACAGCTGCTGTCACCGGCCGATGAAAAACAATCTTCCTTTGTGTTAAATTAATTATACATATGGGATATCTGTAAAGAAAAATATACCATTGCGCAGTTTTACACCAAACACTATCAAATACGAGCTGATAAACAGACCCAATCTGTTCTATATGTTATATGCATTCATGAATGCAATGTTCCATTCAGATATCTTATTTCATACAGTACATGAAAATACAAGGTTTCCAGACTGAAACAATACATTACAGTAATCACCTACCAGGCATAACTTTGACGGTCAACCATTGTGCACATTAATAAGGTGTTTTGTGTTGTTATATGACGAAAGGATATAACATTTCCACGAGCCGTCTAGTTTTAAGCCGTATGGTTAATTTATAAAATATGGGTACTTATATCGTGTACTGTATGTGACCCGGAAGCAATAGGCACAGTAGTTAGCAGACTCAACTATAAACACAATGTCCAATGTTAGAACTTCTGGCTGTGCCAAATAATCAGTGACGAGTGACATCAGAACCAGTCCTGGGCCTTCCCGAAGTTGACTCGGCCTCAAATGATTAGCTAGTGCGGTGTATAAACATTAGTCCTGGGGAGACAAAGGGGGTACACGTTTTGTATTGGCCACACCACCCCCTCTGTACCCTATGCCAGTCTTAATAGGTGATCACTAACAGCATTTGCCCCAACACCAGAGACCCTAAATGCAGACATTATTGTGACATGATTAACAGTACTGATGGTGTGTCAATCATTCCAGCAACTTGGAAGGAAAAAAATAGTTTAACAAAAAAGCTGTCAATCCAGGCTGGGGAAGTGCAGATATAAAAAAAGCACATTTTTAAAGTTCCACTCTGCCTTGTTAGAATGCCGTATACGTAGCTTGTAATGCGGGGGGGGGGGGGGCTTACAAGGGCCATTATAGCACTGCACTGTATGTACCATTTAAGCCAGGCAAGAGCTTTCTTGTGTCCTCTAAATACTGCGCGACAAACGCCTCGCGTGACCAAAATCCAGACACTGGGCCCACAGACAGAACCTAATGTACCCAGATATAAAAAAAAACTATTGAAAGAAAAAAACAGGAAGTGGGAGGGAGGGAGCGAGGGGGGTGGCGGTGGTGGTGGTAAGAGGTAAAAATCAAGTCACAGAGGCCAAAGCAAACGGGAGCCTGGGTGCGGATCTGCTTGGCAAGCCTCCAGGCCTAGCCGTGGACTGTACGCCTCGATGACGTCACATCACCTCATTTCACTGCGCACACTGCAGCCCCACGCGCACCGCCATTCGCAGCAGCAGCAACAACAACAACAACAAAAAAATAATCATCGCCCAAACGCACTTTGGCTCATTGGGGTCAAGCGAATTAATGCTCACCGAGCCCAAAAACTCTTCTATCTCCACCCACACCCCCCCCCGTGCCGCCGCCTCCGCCGCTGCCGCCGCCGCCGCCACCTCCGCACTCCCCACCCCCCCTGCGCCTACGCTAAGCCCACGTCACGCTCGGGGTCATAATTGTGCGAGTGTCCAGCCGCGGTCTGGACGTTGTGGACTGACATTTTCTCACTACACACTGGAAGAAGCAATGCATTTCGTTTCCCCTCCCCGTGACCACTCGCTCAACACCACCACCCCCCCGCCCCCCCCACGTTAAACCTCAAGCGGTGAAAGTTCATAAATAAATCCCCCTCCCCCCCTTCACTTCTTCCCCCCCCCCGCCCCATGTGCAGTACCGAGTAGACAACAATGTATACGGATGTTTGCGTGCGAACAGCAATAAAAAACCCAAGAGCTTACAAATGGCCAAACAAGCGGGTCAAGGCAAGCTCAAGTTACGGTACAGTACTTAAAAAAAATAGGAAAAGACGGCCGATGCAGCTGCCTCGCCCGCTGCGTGTCGCAATACATCACGCAAAGTGCGCAACCCCGTAACACTAAACATAGGCACAGTCGCAGAGTCGTTTTATTTCTGGTTACTTACCCGATCACGTCGAGCAGACACCGCCCATCGTCATCATCCATGACAACTGCGAAAGGGAAGAGGGAGGGGTCAGGTGTAAGACGTCACAATCCGTGCGGGTGGGAGGGGGATGGGAGAGTTGGTAAAGAGGTGGGGGTGGGTGAGTGGTTCGGTATGGTGGTGGTGGTGATGGTGGAGGTGGGGTCGTCGTGGGGGGGATGGGCTTAGAGGGGGATGGGCTTAGAGGGGGAGGGAGGGGGGAAACAACGAGGAGGGGGAGGGGAAACAACGAGGAGGAGGAGGGCGGTCGCTGCGTGCCGTGGCTCGGCCCGAGCCACGGCACGGCGTGGGACGACACAGCGAGCAAGCCCCCCGAAGCTTGCGCCGAATAAAAATCCTGCGGCGGCCATTAACCCGTTTGCTTGCAAGGGGTCTCTCTCTCTCTCTCCGGTCTTTGACAAGTCGGCGTCGTGGGAATGGGGTTGTTTTTTTTGTTGCACTCGTTTTGCGTGCAAATAATGAATATTGCCACGAACGCTCACAATTTTGTCCGTTCACTTTTTTTGCGCCGGCGTTAAAAGGTCCACTGTAGAGTGAATGAGCTACTGCACTGTTGTTAAATGCATTGCCCATGGGTTAGAGTAAAGAAAAGCGATATGGCCCAATAGAAAAATGGCAAAACTTCACAAGTTCAGTCAGGAAAAAAAAGATTTTAAAATCATCAGAAGCTCTAACCTCCAGAACAAAACCTCGCTGTTTCATTAACTGAGTAACAACTCATGTTCATGATTACTAAAATAAAAAATATATTTAAATGCCATTGTCAGTCCAAAAATGTCAATCTTTTGTAACAGCTGAAAACTCACTTGACAATGTACATTTACATTACTGTATTATTTATACACTCAGGCATTAATACCAAATATGACTTTCATGACAAAATTACTACTTGTTTGACTACCATCTTTTAATTTTAAAAGACTTTTTGTTCATGAACCAGACAAGGGATTTTTATTTATTCTGTATTTCTAAAAATCAACCGATAACAAAGCTCACTTTCCGTGACGTATGAGCAGAATAACCAGACGTAAAAAAATGCAGTTTATCCAGTTAATAGACTGCATTCCTAGTTTTGTTAAGTCTTAGACTTTGGTCATTCATGCCAATTTAAGGCTCAAAATCAGGATATATGACAGGATCAACAATGTGGCTTTTGCATGTTTAGCATGCCCAACAATGTTTTACAGTTACCATACCCCAAGCCAACATCATGTTAGTGGCCTCATCCATTACATTGGTGCTACAGCCAGGATACAAGTTCCAGTTTGGTGAAGCTCACTTGGCGTATAGATGCACCATTTGAGAGAGAACGGAACACTCCAAATACACTTGTGAATTCTGTGGCTCATTCACTATCAACGGTTACATTGTGACTTTGTAACCATTATCATTTAATTGTGCTTGTTAATTATAAAGCATAAAGAAACAACACAAAACTGTCAAGGGCCTCAAAGTTGAATTAAAAAATGAGCACACACACCACGTATATTTAGCAAGTGCATGTTGAAAGTAACAGTCAACAGATCGTGCAATATTTCAAGGATGCTACCAGAGAAATAGGTGATGTACATTATCATACGCACAACAATAAACTGTCCTAATGGGAGAGACAAACAGCTTGTCTAGCTTTAAAAAAAACTGATTGCATGTTTTCGACAAACAATTTTCATGAAGTGCATCAAAGGGCCAATGAAAACTCTATAGCAAAACATGAGACAGCATGCATATCCAAGAAATATTGGCCAACACATTTTAAGAATGTCCATGCTCGTTTAGCTATCTGTATTGCCAAGGCCAGCTAAACAAAGGCGTATTGAAAAATGTCAACAAGCAGATGGCAGAGGTTTCAGTCTTAACGTTGCCACTCTCTTAATTAACCTATTAAGCATTTTGCCTGAGACACTACTCTCTCAATCTAGTACTGTCACATCTCACGAAAGTGTTAGGTCATCATATTACTTTCAAAACTACTGAGCAGAAAATCAAAAATTGCTCAAACTTGAGCAGTTTTGTGAAAATTACTGGTTCTAGATATGTCCACAGGTTACATTTCTTGCCATGCCCCCAATAGACTACCAAACCTCAAAATATCTGCAAATTGTAATAAAGACAAACGTTAATATTGTGAAATTCTATTTACTATTGAGGCTTTAGCATCCATATATGGCTTGCAATTTCAAACAACCAGAACATTTTATTTTCAAACTGTGCAGTGTACGCAAACTATGTCTCGTCGAGTTTCCAAAAACTCCATCAATGTCAAGCATAAGCCATATGGAATGCATTACACGTTAACATGTTGCGGGTGTGATGTTTTAAAACCCAATTTCGAAAATGCACACCATTTAAGATATCATACCCACAGGCATGCAAAATGTTAAAAAATTTAGGCTGAGGGGCAGCAGCATTCAGTACCTTCATAAAAAACATCCTGCCATGGGAATCCCTCAATTAAAAACTTTTAACAAAGATAAAGGTTGATTTGAATTCAGCAAGCTTTTCACTTACAAGGCTTAATTACTGTTGCTATTCCAACATGAGACGTAATTAAATGTGGAGTACTTTTATGGATTTGATTAGGTATTGGTCTTTATGCATAATTTTATCATGCTTGCTGAATAAACACAATTTAATCTTAACAATGTTAAATTTTTAAATCCACCTGTAGATCCAAATTGAAAGCATCTCTCAACACATTAAGTTACTCATGAAAATAATGGGAAATAAGTTGGTCAAAAGATGTACTTCTGAAAATACACAAAAGATGTAAACAAGTCTAGCCTATTCCGAGGTTGGTTGTTTTCCCTCTATGTATAACAGTTTCCCATGTCATTCAGTCATATGCAGAGTTAGAAGTATAATTTTTTTGAAAAGTGCATTATGCTTGAGAGGCCTTTACTATAAGTAAAAATATTAACTAGAAGTGTCAATCTTAGCCCTCACAATGACACCAAAAGGAACCGCTGATAGTGACCAAATTAAGAGATGACTTTAATAATTAGACATTTAAAGAACGTGCTGTCTTTCAAAACACCTCTCAAAACTCTCCAGTACCGCAATGAACATTTAAAATATTGTCACTTACCATCACCTAGCCTTTATTCATAACCATAAATTTAAACAGAGGATATTTAATCATAAACGGCAATAGTTTTCATTGTGTTATTTGTCAGAGTATTTATATCAAGGTTATTGAGCAAAAGACCAAAAGGCCCTAAATGCCAAACAGCCAAGAACATCCCTATCGATTTATAATTACTGCGTTCGGCCACAAGCTGATGTGGCCAGATTTGTGCCAAAAGACCCTTCACCACCCGACATAGTGAAAAACATTAATTTGTCAGATGTATAAGCAATTAAAGTGCCAATTATTATTGTTTCGGTCCACCGGTTTAGAAATTAGATATGACCTTGAGCTTGAAACTATGCCAAGCACTCGGAAAAATCCATCAAGGACAACAAAATCCAGTCAGAGTAATCGTGTCACCTGACCCACCTTCTTAATTAATATGCCAAATGGTGACAACTTTACAATGTACTTTTAAGAGCCAATTTGCATCGTTGAGTATACTTTAAATTTAATGTGTAGCAAAATAAATGTTTCACGCTTGAGAAGAGTTAATGTTTTAAAAAAAAGCTTCCAGGGTTTAAATTTTTTAAACCACACTCGTGGTGCTCAAGACATCACAGGTATTAAATAGGGAAGTGACTACCTGTCCCTGCAGATGGGAGAGAAAAAAAGAAGTCTCGGGAACTACTGTACTGTTTCTGCTGATTCGTATACCATCATGGATCAAGTGGTTTTCGTTAAAATCTCACCTTCCTGAGATTTCAGTTTATAAAATATTGAGACACCACTTCTTTGATTTTTGTGTAGGATTCAGGGCATTAGTTTATAGGTTATGGTTAGGATTTAGAGTTAGTAGTCATGGTTTGGTTTACGGGGTTAGGATTTATAAAAAAAAGATTATGGCTTTGGGGTTAGAGGTTCGGGAAAATGGTTAGGACAGCAGTTCTCAACCCACGCATCATGCCCACCCAGGATAACACAAACGTCTCTCGGGAAGGGGTGAGCATACTGCAGAATGGATGCCGTGCTAGAGAATAATCAATTGCACGGCATAGCCTTATTTAGGCTAATGGTGTGTCACGACATTACAGCTACACTAGATCAAAATTGAGCTGCATGTGGAGTTTATCAGAGGGACATCTCAACACTTGTAGTTCTGTATACAGCCTGCGTCACTATTGTAATATAATTTATGGACTTATGAATAATACCTACAGTATAAGTTTTCATATATGATAGTTGGCTCTTGGCAAATACTGCCTCAAAGCAATAAATGGCAGAGGTGCCTCCTTCCAACAGTTAACTTCTTTAAAAAAATTGGTATCATCTTAAGCTAGTATAGTGGACATAAAGGGATGTTAATATTGAACGATAATAATAAAAAGTGGGGTTGAGTAGGTCACATTGCCAGCAATCGAGACAAATTTTAGAGTTGCAGCCAGAGGAAGAAACATTGAAATAATGTCCGCTGTAGTCCAAGTCATAAAGCGGCTTGGGGGTCAGGTGGCATGGTTGTTGCCATCTCAAATAGTTCGACAACCACTGGGTTAGGGTGTTTAAGGTTATGGTTTAAGGTTTAGGATTAGAGACAAAGGTTTAGAGGCTAGGATTATGGAAATTATTACACAATAATTATTTTCTTGCCACAAATTTAGGCGGACAGTAATCTCAGCTTTAAAATTTAAAAAGTTAAGTTATTTTGCTTTTAAAATCAAGTATATTTATGGGTTAGAAAGCTATAGAACAAAGTTGTATTCTTACACATTTAAGAGAAACTGCTTCATAAGTGAGCTTTCAAAATGAACATAAGAACTGTAATGCCTTGTCCAAAAAAATTCCACTAGCATAAGCTCCGCACCTGAAATGACCCAATGAAAACTATCTCTGCAGCAAGTGCACTGCAGTGTGCCAATTACAATTTTTAAAGAGCATTCACCGACGACTTTTTCATTAGTGAAACACAGGTAACAGTTGGGAAGCCAGTGCTATAAATTTCAGTTTGTTGTTTTAAAGATGCAACTTTGTGCGCCCATCAAGGTGGATAGCTCACACAGCGGGATAATGACCTCATTATGAGTGCTGAGCAAGCTCCCTTGAGATGATGGGTTTGAAACCAAGGCATCAAAATTTTATGAATCCATGTTACCACGTATGTTGTGTAGTCTTAATCGGCTCACCTATACCTGGCCTAACCAATTTTTACTTAAATTAAGATAAATACAATACGAAATACTGTATACACTATAGCGTGAGATATGCTAAGATGCATTTGCTATCTTGTGGTTGTTGAGGGCCTCACACAAATACTTTATTAGGTTTTGTATGGTCACTACTCAATGACAATGGGAGCTTTTTTGTCGACTTACATTTTTTATTGGTTAAATAAAACAAAAAGTAGATAATTTTTTCTACATCGGGGTTGGGAAACCCATTGCTGAGGGGTAAATATGGCAGGTAACACAATTACACACCTTGATATCCAAAAATAACAGTGGCCTTTAGTGATTTTGCTAAAATTAGAAGCACATTAGGTTGAAAATATCCACGAGTCCAGTACCTGAAATGTGCTGCTAAAATGCTTGCAGTGCCAGATACGTAGGCTATTCTATAGTGGTACGTCTCAAGTGGCAGCAGGAAGCCGTGGGCCATTCTACATCTCAAATGGGCTCATACAGTAATGTGAATACTGTACATGCACCTAGCAGCACACTCTCCAAAGTAAAGACTTTACAAAAAGTTGGACATGACCTTAAAATTAAAGAAAACTGTCGGATGTTTTTCCCCCCCATGCAATATGGAAGTCTGAGGTGGAAGTCTGATGCATCCAGAGGTCCTCTATCAGAACATCTACTAAAATTGCAACCAAACTCCAAACATTCCCATCCCGTGAACCATACTGTTAAAACCGGCTACAAATTCACAGAGCCTCATATCATGCATACATGTAAAAATCAGTCCTATCCATTTTGGCACATATTGAAGAGCCAATAACCACAATCACAAAATTCACTGTTGGACCAAAACATTTTGACTATTTGGATATTAACAAAATAACTAATACTGAATAGGATTTCTTCAGCAAATGTGTTGGTGTGCTTTAATGCAGGTTTGGACCCTCAGTACAGTAGCTGCATTTTATGTTCAACGTTCCATTCCTAACAACTTGAAAGTTACCTAATTTATTTTAAACATTGATGCGTTTCACATAAATTCATGCACCACACACAAAATAAAGGGGATTTCCCTTTAAAACGTTTGCAAAATATTGTTTGGCCATGCGCTTACAACACCAAAGAAACATCCTGCGTGAAATGGACAGCGCTATCTCCCTAAAAGGAAAGATCCCCTTGCTGTTGAATGGCTTTAATCACGCGCGAAGTCAAACAGAACACAAGGCTTTAATAAGAGTTAAGAGGAACGCAGACAAAGGCCCTCTCTATATTCACTGCCACAGCAGCCAAAGATGGCCTCCACCCACAACCGCATTCGATGCTTAACAACCAAACTTAGAAGCATTTACAAGCGCAACTTTATCGTTCCAAAACATTAAATAAGTCAACTCTTTCTCCCTCATCTTTATTTAAACCCCATGGGTCGGACCGACTGTTTTGTATTTCTGCACAAGCACGCGCCAAAAAAAAAATATACGTTTTTAGCTCAATAACTTTGTCCGAGTCTATTGACCCGTAGAGCGGGTAAATTGTCACGAGGCTCGGTTACATAACGTGCATTAAATGCGATTACAGCTCAACGAGACGTTAGGGCTCGCGACAGTGGTAACGAATTGTTAAAACGTGAACGTTTACGCGTTGTTGCGTTGTGTTTCCACGTCTCGCGTGCATGTCGCCTGCCCTCGTCGTTTCACAGCCGACATGTAATGGAGGGCGACACGTCGCCGACGGCCTTGCGCGTTGCGCTCGGGACCTTTCCATGGCTCTGCTATAAACACGAACCGATTTTTTTTTATAAAACTACATCCTCGCACGTTCGTGCGAATTAGACGCACTTGTCGCGGCTAATGACGGTGCATCCAAAGCCATTTTTTGTGTGTGTCAAGACAATTCGAAACAAGGAAACGAACCCGCTCAGTCGGCGAGACTCCATAAGGAGACAACGGGGCCCCCCCCCTCTCCGTAGCGTTTTTAAAAACGCATTATTTTTTTTTAAACGTGCACCGTGAAAATTACACAAAACGTACACTTTGCTCAATATCACGCACTAACAGACGCGGCATGTGTAAAAAAAATTAAACAGCGTTGAAAAAAAATACACGTTACAATTCGCCTCGGGAGGCGACGCGGCGCTTTATTTAATTAACTCGACGAGAATTCTTAACGTGTATATACGGTGAGGGGGGGGGTCGTTTAAAGAGTGTTTTCTGCGTGGGAAGCCTTCCCTTTAAGTTTATTTTTATTTGCCGTCATCTGCCCGCCCCTCTCGCCACCTCGTCTACACCACACCGCTATTATAATTATTTTAAACAGAAGCCGTCTATCGGGCTCTCTTCTCGACCACCGCCTCCTCTCCTCCTCCCCCCCCACACCGACCACACGGCCAGCAGCCTCCCCCATCGTTTATATAATTATATTATTTTTTGTTGTTGTTAAAACGCCGCTTCTCTTCGTCAGTCCTCGTCGTTCCTCTCCTCCTCCTCCCGCCGCTTCTCCCTCGTACGTGTGCAACACATAAGAGAGAGAGAGAGAGAACCCAGCCCTTTTTTTTCCCCTCCTCCTCCTCCTTGAAAATTTTATCACAAAATTATAATCGGGCCGCTGTGAGGGACTCACCGTCATGTAGTTCGCGTGCCTCGTCCAAGGGGTTTCCTCGCCATCACGGCAGGGGCCGAGGGGCGGGGCCTCCTCGTCTGTCTCGCGCGCTCACCCCCTCCCTCCCTCCCTCCCCCCCTCTTCGCCCCCCCCCCTCTACCTCCTCCACCCCCCTCTCTCGCTCGCTCACTTTGGCCACGCGCGCGCCGCAGCCGTCGTCGCCACCGCCACCGCTCTCAGCTCCCCCCCCCCCTTGCCCGCCCGCCGCTGTCCTCCTCCACCCTCCCCCTTAGCGCGCCGTGCGGTCCGCCCGCTTACTGTAGTATGGGGGAAGGGTTGGGCGAGGGGGTGGGAGTTGGTGATGGGGGGGAGGTGTGGTGGTGGAAGCTCCTTTTGGTGAGCCGTTTCACGCACGCGCGTCGCTCTCACAGCTAACGTGCGGCGCAACAACCTCCGGGTCTCGTGCGCAACGAAATCCCGCCAAAAATAAACCGCCCCCCTCCATCACCACCCTCTCCAACACCCCCCCCCCACACACACTCACCCCGGTGCCCCCTTGTACCCACCCCCCCCCACCCCTCGAATCGTCAACGACATCTACAACAGGCCCGCCCACTAACCCCACGCGCCCCGCCCACTAACCCCACGCGCCCCGCCCCCTCCGCTACAGCCACATCCCTCTTGACCCCCTTCCCCCGACCCCAATCATTAAACCCAATACCCCGGAGGAGCACCGCAGCCCACGGGGACTGCCGATACAACAGTCAGCCACTCGACAAATACCAATTCATCGATTACATTGATTATTAAGCGAGCGGCAAGCACGGACCCGTGAGTATTGGTAATCGATTATCTTACATTAATTAGACCACGTGTGAAACAAGTGAGACAATGGTGGGGAATTCCACGTTCCCGTCGGGAGCGAGTCTATCCATAGGACAACCACAAAGGAAAACAATAAACAATGCAAATGAGATATTCATAAGCAAGGCTAAAATTATCTAAAATACAGAACTTACTCGCGCATGTACCTAACTCAAGTCTGGCCCAGCTTGCTCTGCTGTATTTGTAAAAAATAAATATTCTTGTGTTTTGTTTACGATAGTCAAATACATCGTTTGTTTTATGTGCACCATTCCTTAAGGACTCTCAATACACAGTGACATTGTGCCATGTGTCTAGTAAATATGGTTTCCTACTTGGCAGACAGGAATATAAAATCCAAAAATAATCAGAGCCCTTCCTCTCCAAACTCAAACTTACATAATCATTCAGATTCCCCTCCATCCAACACCTCCGATTAGCACGGTTGGCTACGTACGGTGATAGTTACGTAAATACTGTACATAATCAATTAGACATACTTTCATGGGTTTGCAGATCTAAAACAATCGAATGTTATATACTGTACCTCACCACCCACAAACTGCTTCATTGCACAAAGCGCACGGCAGTAATATGTATTGAATGCTAAATTAGCGTTTGTTATACGTGTACTAATGTGGCTCTATTGCACATTGTTTACACGTTATAACTATTACACAGCTATATACATTGTAAATGTCATACATATTGACATGTATACAGTACTTACAATACATAACAGTACATTTAAAATAGCAATTTAACAGCCATTGTTCAATGATTGCGTAACATTATGAACTACAGTAAACAGCACATTTCATAAAGCATACATGATATACAGTGTAGACATTGAACGTTCCAGGTAGGGTTGCCACTACGGTATGTCATTCGTAAAGAAGCTGTTGATTATATTTTTGTACGGATCAGCAAATATAAATACAGTATCCTGGAATTACCCCCCGCCCTCACCCCCATATGTAGAGAACCCCCAGTTTTAAAACGCATACATTATTCATCATAAAAAAGCCGCATGTCTTAAAAGCCCCAAGCGAATACGAAACATCCACTTGCGCCACCGGTATGCCGTCAATACAATACACTATACCTTGCGTGCCACCTCCTTCCTACACGTGCGCCGCCGTCTCCAACTCTTTACTTTACCATTTGCACTGCGTGACACATTTAGCACCGTCTTGGTTTACGAGAATGTTTTAAACGAAGCCCTCTTCCATACCGCGGGCCGGGCTCATTCGCCATTCTTAGCCACGGCCTGAAAGCTCGCTCGTTACGTTAATACTGTGCCACCGTGTATACATATATATTTTTTTTAACACGCGCGCGCGCGCTCCAGTTATATTTCACTGCGACATTAACGAAAATTTCGGCGTTCTTTAAATCTACGACTTTGTTATTATTGATACACGTGACAACGGTGGAACGCGCTTCCGGGAACGCTTCCTCATGTTCGTGTGCATTTTTCCCGCCACTTTTCCCCCCCTCTGCGCTTGCTCCCGTCCGTCTCGATCGCACAATGCGCAACACACGGTGTGTGAGGGGGGGGTGGCTACAACACGTGCGCCTGAGCTCCATTAGGAGAGGGGTCAGCGAGAGGGGACGCGACACCCATCCGGCTTTTCCCCCCCACCGTCTCCCACGCACTTTAATAATAAATAAAATAATAATCGTTCGCGCAGGCGGGCGCGACGGGCACTCCCCGCCAGGCTAGTGGGGTCCTTAAGATAACCTCCCCCCCCCCCCGTTAAAGCCCCCCACGTCACCGCACGCTATTGGCTGGTTTTAGCCCCGCCCCCTCTTATCAAGCCCCGCCTATCAACCCCTCGCCACCTCGTCTATTCCACGCCCCCCCTCGTTTCCCCCCCCTCCACGCCGCCGCCGCGCCCCCCGCCGTGCCAACCGGGGCGTTGCTACGGGTGACGTCACCGCACAACATCACGGCTCGTGCTAATTGGGCGTCGCCCGCTATGACGTGCGGTGTGGCGGTGACGTCACCCTAACGATCCTCCAGCCTGATGGGCGGTGTCGGAAGGGCGACGTCATAAGCCCGGCGGCGGCACCGCGAGGTGGGGGGGGCGATCGAGTACCGCGACCGACGTGACGTCACGAGGGCGGGGCTACGTTGGTGGGGGCGTGGCTACTGGGCGTGGCTACACGGGCGGGGCGGTGGTTTCGGACGGGGGGCTGCCCAGCACGTGGTGTTTTGTGCACAAGGCGTGGGCACTGAGCTTCTTCATTAGCGGAGTTGTTTGGTGGCCGTGAGATGCTCCTGATGATGTTGCCGCTGCTGTAAGTCGCGTTTATAGGCATGTTCCTCCCCGCTGCATGCATTCTTCTACTCGGCGTTGTTTCCCTCGCCCCGGACGGCTGAGGTTGTGTCTTCTATAGAGAGGCTACTGCGCTGGTACACGCTGGACGACCCTGCTTTGTAGGGTTCGAGATTGAATTGTGGCTTCAATGGTGGTGGCGGTGGTGATGGACTTAAAGGCTCCACCAACTTGGTGTCCTCGGGAGGCGCGCGTTGGGTTGGCTGCTGCTGCTGAGCCCATGGAACCAAAGGATGTTACCACTGCTGTTGCCTAGTGGCACAACGTACTGATTGAAGCAGTCGCCTACTACAAAGAACGGAGTTGTTCGCGCTGTGGAAGACTGCGTCTCCTACCCCCCGTCGGCGAACTGACCCAGGCGTGGAGAGAAAGGAAATGTGGATGAGAACTTTAAATTGCGACAGGGATTGACTGGTGAAACCAACTGGACCGCGACGAGGACTCGTAAGGTTTTGAAAGGCTCAACTTGTATTGTGATGACAGTTTTGTTTTATTGTGTACGGTGCTACAGTGTTTACGCGTGGTGGTCACGAATAAAAGCGTGCGCCTTGCTTGCTGTGATGTGCCGCTTCGATAACCCTGCTGCCTGAGGATGGTTAGAGGGTGTGTGTGTGTGCGCGCGGGCGCACACGGGTTTAAAGGTTTAAATGTTACGTTCTGTTAAGTCAATCATCTTCCACGACCGTCATCCCGCTGCGGTCGCTGTTCAGAGCCGCACCCCTCCTGTGCAGACAGCCAAAGGCGTTAACAGTAGCGGGTGACGATGCCCAGTTTGTGTTTGAGCCATAGGAAGTTGAATTTTTAACGGCACACGCCCGGTTACCAAGACACGTTCAACGCAGCCAGACAGGGCAAAGCTAATTTGCTTACCGGTGGATCAAAGGATTTGTCCTAAGACGTCCGTCAAAGTAAACGCGTTTTACATAATAGGCGACGTTCCGGGCAATGGCCCTTCCAGAGCAGAAAGGGACATTGCCCAACACGCAACAGTATTGACGTTTGAGCGCTTTGTTTTATCAGTGTGCTTCTGCACCACTGCTGATGTAGCGTCACAAAACGATATTTATTTAACAGGTAAAAATAAGATGTTCGCTTTAAAGAAAATCTAGGTCGAGTAACTATATTTAGACAATACCCAGGAGAGCACGTTTGTTAATTAAACCTACGACAATCACTCGTAATGCGTTTAACACGTAGGCTTTCGCGACCAATAACGTTTTTTTAGGTTCGATCGCGTTAAATATAAATGTGTCGTTAAACCCGCTACCACCCGACACAGCCAATTAGTTACTACTTCAGCACATCTGTGTGTTGGAGAGTAGACCCACACGATTTACTGCCAGCACTGACCTTGGCTTTATAAATTTGTGCTCAAAGTGTAAATGTTGTGGGTTTACTCTCCAACACACCGGTGTGCTGAAGTAATACATTGGAACGTTTTGTTTACGTGACGCCTTACTGATTGGCTGTCGGGCGGTGGTGGGTTAACGACACATTTTATATTTACGTGACATAACCAAAAACAAACACCTCTATTATGGACATTGAATTATATAACGAACATGGTAATGTATAGCACATTAACAGCTGGGGTGGGGGGTAGTTGAGATTATAACAAATTGCCTGAAATATTCAGGAATTTTTTTTAAAAATTGCGTGAAAAGAAGCGAACGGGATACACAGAACTCTAATAATATTAGGAGAAAAATTAGAAATCACAATAACCGCCGAAGACGCCTTAAGAAATGGTAATATTTAAATAACTCGTCGACATTCGTCCATGACACTGTGGCTTTAAAAATAACCAACACTAGGCGACGTTTCGGGCAATGTCCCTTGTACATTTTGTGCTATGAAGGACCATTGGCCCAAACGTCGCACGTATATTTGTTTATTTTAAGGACTCATTGTTATTGAAGGATGTTGTAGAGTTTGTAAATTGTGCTTGTGCGACACTGCCAACGCAACTGCAGCATCACCGAATAACGTTTAATATGGAACGTATAATACACAGGTTAATGGCCAATTAACACCCGATCGAGATAGAACGGTTAAATCAGTTGTGGAATTGTATGCAGATCTCACAATCATTTTTTAAAATATATTCTAAGAATCGAACCGTTTCTCAGATGAAGTTCCTGCTGTCACTTGCAGCCAGCACTGCCATTGACAGTATGAAACAATGGAAAAGTTTCTGGACCAGATGGTACAACTCTGTACATCATAACAAACAATAGGAACCGGTTGTGAAATGTTAACGTTGAGATTAAATAGCTCAATCGTGAAATTATGCCTCAATTATTCTTCCATTAAAAAACGAGTAATACAACCGACTTAAACAATTGCAGACCTATTCCCCTCTTTATACCATTTCCTGCAGAAATGGGATACATTGTCCTTGAGATTATAACCTAATGTCTAAATGCCAGCGAATCACATGAGCAAGCTCGGTTTTACTAAATATTTCGGTACCATGGATCATATGCATATGTAGTGACAACGCTGGATGTCACTATGCTGTGGGTGCAGTACCGGCCCTAGAGGAGCACGGCGTGTGGTGGAGCGACATCGCCGGATACCACAATGTTGTGGGTGTAGTACTGACCCTAGAGGGCCACGGTGTGCGCTAAATAATAGCGCTGGATGGCACCACGATTGAAGTGCAGTGCCGACCCGACAGGGTGTGTGGGTGCCGACCGAAGGATAGGGTTGTGTGAGGCCATGGCACTCTGGTTGACCCGGGAGGACACGTGACCGATTAAGTTGAGGGGCCCCAAGAGGGGGCTAGCGGGGTCACGTGATTGGGACCCAGATCCTTCCCGAGGATTCTGGATGGTGGGCGTGTCCAAGGGCAGAGCCGGCCATGCCACAGAGAATATAAGCCGGGTCCCGAGAGGGACCGGGGGTTGTTGTTCATCCTGGAAGAAGCCCTTCGTCTACGCTCTCCGTTCAACGAGTCTCCAACACGTGGACCCGGGCCGAAGTCGTTGGTCCCGGTCCGTAGTAGCAGTTACATTGTAACTAGTGACGTTAGCTTGGTGGTCACCACCAGGCTAACTACACCAGTCACGTTGTAACTAGTGTAACTAGTGTAGTAACTAGTGTAGTTAGCCTGGTGGTCACCACCTTACGTTGTTATTCTGTTAAGGAGAAGTTACCCCGTGTGTTGGAACTGAATAAATGTGTTGCCTCCAAAGTCTATGTCTGCGACTCAGTTGAACCCATTACACACATCTATCTATCCCAGTGTTCTTCATTGCAAGGCCCGCGGGTCACTGGCGGCCCCTTGTGGCCTTTAATGCGGCCCCCGGTGGTCTTTAGTGCGGCCCCTGACGTGCGGCCCCCCGACAATACACATGTGAAAACACCCCCCTTATCATCACACTGTCAAACCCAACAATGGTTTCAAATGTGTGGCGGCCCTCGCACACTGTCTTATCGGCGAAAGTGCCCCCCCCCGAAAATGAGTGAAGAACACTGCTCAATATATCATTCAATGTTCTGTGGGGTGCCGGCATGTTCCCAGCGTTGTGATTGGCTGGAGGTTACACGCCGCCTATCTCGACTTCTCGTTGCCCCCCCCCACCTCTTCACGTGAAGACATCAGAGGGAGGGGGGGCAATGGAAGGGGGGGGGTCCGGTGCACGGGCGCGGTGCAACAGGTACATTTGTGAGAAAAAGTTTCACAGGTCATTGGATTCCTCCAGTCTAAAGATTCATATCCAAATGAGCTCAAACCTCCCATCAGTCACGTGACTTCTGTGTGGCCACTCTTACTGTGAAGACAGACACTCCCCCGTGCAGGAGCATCGATGCCCTTATGCAGGAAATCTTTGATATTTTTAATTAAAAAAACATTGTCAAGTGGAGCTCAAGATAAATGAGTACAACAGGTGTCACGTGTATTTCACCCACCCCTCTTGGACATGTGTAAAATAGCTTAATAGCTCATCTGATTCCTCCAGCGTAAATACAAATGTTGATTATGATTTGAAGACACCTGTCTTCATAACCCATCAGTGTATATCTAGTGCAGTAATCGAAGGCATACCAGGATCAGGGTGCTGCGGTGGCAACGTATTAACTACCTCGCCTGGTATATGAGGGTATGGGTTCGATTCTGACCCTGAGGTCCTGTATATTTGGTCTCCCTGTAGGTGTGTGGATTTTTTCTCTAGGTCTTCTAGTTTTTACCCTCCACTTTTAGAAACATGCATTTGCAGTATTTTGGTTGCTATTCCCACATGAGAAGCCACTTTGGATAAATTATTTGTGGTCAAGTCGCTTCTGGAAAAGAGCGATATAGTTCAGTGGGCATTACTTGGGAAAAAACTGAAAGGAGCAGATGAGAGGACGTTGCTTTGGGAAATCTTCATAATTAAATGCAAACATCGCCTAAAAAAGTGTCTGTCCAGTTGATGTCATAAATAAATGTGGATATAAAAAAGTTAAATGCACAAAGAAGCATGGAGAGATGCATTCTTGGGATTACACTGAGAGAGGAAGAGGAACACGTGATGAGAGAACATGTGCAATTTATACGCATTGACTGCTAAGAAAAGCAAAGTGGTTTGGGCAGGATGCTTCACGAGATGAGATTTTGGCCAGTGGTGGCGAGACACGATGGAGTGGGAGAAGGGAATGCCCAAGGGCATCCACCAGATATGGAGTGATGAAATCAGCTTGAGTACAAGAGCCAGATGGATTTATGCATGGGGAAGCCTCATCCAATAGTTGATCAATCATAGCTGATAGTAACAGGCGCCAAAAAATCATGGAAAAGCAGAAACGCGGTGAGCCAGTTCCAAATTAACCCCATAAACTCTACGGTCCTCACATTAATTGCTATCGGCGAATTAATGTGCACCTCCATTTAACGCGGTTAGCTTCGTGCAGTGCAAAAGAAGTTCAACATATACACCAATGTGGGAGGAAACCTGGAGAAACCACAAACGGTGTGAAGTTGTAACACTATCCCTTACAGATGGAACAGGTGGGGTCCACATTTTGCTGTACCGCATTCTCCTGGCAAGCCAGGGTATGGGACCTTGACGCCCACGAGATTGGTTTCACAACACGTGTGTGATCCACCAATTCGCCTCCGCAGTGCTCAATGTACAGGCCATGTGCATAGCCACCCCATGAATAGTTATAAGACATGACTGACATGATGGCACACATCTTAATGCAATCACGTCTCATAACTTATTCATTATGGCAGTCAGGAATTGGTTTTAAAGCCATTTTTTCTTTCAAGAATTTTTTTTGCAGTGTGCATGCAGAACAAAAAGCTAAAATGCAAAAAAACGCAATATAAAATCCGCTATACCGTCTCAATGGTGCATCTCTGTATGATGCACCTTCAGGGAATGCGATACTTCCATTTAACATTTAAAGCAGGAAAATACAATTTTATGTATCTGATGCAGGATCTACGATTTTCCTGTACTTTTTTTTCACGATGATACAAAACTAATATGTAATGCACATGTCCCCAAGCCTTCGTCAAGCCACTACTGATTGAGGGCCTCCCCACACTGTGTGGGTCGTTGGGGTGATTAGACCACACTGCATGGCAACGTTGCATCTATGCTCTCACACTTTCAAACAAGACCTGTAATGTTGGTTCAAATGCATTTTATTTTCAAACAAGCAGACGGGTATGAATATTTACAGCTTCAATTCATAAAACGGCTCTCACGGACAAACTGCTTTACCACATCATCAAATCGTTCATCCTCACGAGCAAAGCGGTGTCACCACTTAACCATACCGAATCCCAATCAGGTTATTCTCTTTTTCTGCCAAGGACATGCTGCTCCTGACCAGCTGCAATTATTTTTACACCGGCTTGTTTATCGGTTGGATTGCCATCTACTTAGATCTAACCTATAAAACACCTTGTTGCTTTGTAACACGGGAATGCGGGAGCATTGGTCGATGAAGCCGTGCGTGGCCGATAAGACTAACTGAATTCAAAACCAATCGGGGGTAGCTTTGTTGATAAAGTTGCTACTGGAAAACATGAATGTTCAAGCCCACAGGGCCAAGGTTTTCAATGCCCCTTCAGCAATTTCCCACAAACCTGCTTCTCTCATTGTACCGTATATAGCGTACAACATATACCCCAGAGGTTAGGCTTGTTGACCTGTCAGCTTCTGAAGGCACACGCACAATGACCATACTGTTTGCCTGACTGCGCATTGCTGGGTGTATGAACACGCAACCTGGATTCTGAAGAACAACTTCTGGGCCCAAGAAAGCGGGCACTCGGTCACACTCGCGCGAGTGCCACTCACGCTTGATCGATATTGTGTTGCTGAGGCTCAGGGGCAGTGGAGCCGTGCAACAACGAACGATTGCCACGCGAGAAGCCCGACTTTTGTTTCTGAAGGGTCGGCGGGTTGTTGACTGCCGTTGAGCTGTTTGCATACCCATTTATACAACTTCATTATTCCTACACTGTGCTTCCCCACCGCCCCTCCTTCCCCAATTGCATTTCAATTGTGCCGCACGCCGAGAGCTGTCCACTTGGAACTCTTACGGCGAGTCCCGTCGGAGAACGCCTTGTGTGTCGCTGAACTACTTCTGAAAACCCTTCGATAGACTTCTATGCGCACGCTGCACGTCCTTACAAAGAGCGCTCGTATCAAGGCAATGGCATTTTATGTTATTTAACTCTCGAAGCTGCTGTAATCCTAAGAAAAAACAAATCCGTAGGTTATTTTGTGCATTCAATGGCGACTAGCCATTGAATACACTCGATACACTTGAGAACACGGTTATCATCACACAAGTGACTGCCTGGATTTGAATCAAGGATCGAGGCAGTGCTGGTTAAGTGCTCTCAATCGCATTAGCCCACTGAACTATCTGGCCACTTCATGTCGTTTAAAAAAAAACATTTAATAATAAACGTTCCACACTGTAAAATGCCACGCGCGGCAGGTGGTGTGGGTGTGGATTACTATGAGATCTAACGACTTTACATTATTAGGGGCAATCGGGACAGTTCAACCATAATATATTACTGCCCGCACAAATTGTGCTTGGTCTGCTGCATTGGGAACAACACTCTCACAAACTAGAGCCCATCGTATAGGAAAAAAATCATGCATACGCATGGATTATGTACTCCACTTTCTAACATGCGTTTCATCTCAGAAATATGTAATTAACAGTACGAAAGCCAATGATTAGCTGTCTGGGTAAAATATGTTTACATAGTTCCAACAGGTCAGGTTAAAATACATTTGCATCTGAATAAATTTGTGTCTCCAAGATTTGGGCAACCAATTTTGACCAATACGGTAAGTCCAGTCTTTAATAAGTCTCTAAGAGCAACACACGTTTAAAATGTATGTGTTCAAATTGGATCTTTACTAGAGTCATAGTGACCCTCTGTTATGGATGGCTGGACAGTGGACAAATAATGCATAAACTCTTTCAATCTTAGTTGGAGAGCAGTCAAGAGGAATGAGCACAGCCTGAATGCTTGTATAATGAACCCAATGTCTTCTCCTGCCAATGATAATCCTACTCATGACAAACACACATGCAGGCCCAGGTTCAGACTACGGTACCCGGGCAACCGGGCATTTCCAAATAAGCCAGTCCCAGAGTTGGGCCATCACACACTTGACCGAAACTTAAACCTCGACTTCATATTAAGTTGGCAAAGACAAAAACATGTAAGAAGGTATCCTCAACACAAACCGTCGATTCTGTGCCAACTAGCTCAGTGGCCAGCACACTGACCGTTAGGTTTAACACGGTTACGACAAGTGAAGCCAAAATATCTTTACCTGAAAACTGTAATTTAATCGCAACCCCCAAAGAAAGATGTTTGGGTTGAACCAGTCACGTGGTCAACAAATGGAGGGCACTTGCTACTTTAAAGACAACGGTGTAACGCGTGTTCACCCAAGGGCAACGAGCCGGAAATGAAATTGATGTGTGGCACCAGTCATTTTCATCAAGACTGTTTTTACATCAATCTGTTTTAATGCGAGTGTATGACACTCAATAAGCAGACCGGCTTTCCCAACTTGTAACGTTAGTGTCGGGTGGTGAAATCTCAAGTGTATGACACTCACAATGCGACCAGCATTCCCAGCTTGGAAATGCTGATAGATCGATATAAGCATTACGCATACGAGGCTCGATAAGGGTTTTTTTTCCCCAGCTTGTTAATGCCCGTGGAATAGGTGAACGTGTAGCATGCATAATGACTGAATGTAATGGCTTGGCCAGCTTGCTGTCTTGAATCTGGGACCATGGTAAATGCAGGTGTTAAAGGCTCTATAGACCAATAGGCCTGCATGGATTGTTTTGATGAGTTTCCAGGATCATTAGACATCCTCGGAGGTGCCTAGGTTTTTAAAACAAAATCTACTTTTATTGTGGAGCACAGACGTGGCACACAGTAGCCAGGCACGCCATAGCTTTTCCTAACTTTCCAAGCATACTTTTGTTATCGTGATGGTATATTGTATTTTAAAAAAACGAGTCACGTGGATTTCTAATGGCCTTCATTGCCACCTGTTGACAGAATGATTAAGTCACTTCTTGGGCCGTTCCAGGATATTGAGAAACTTCCCTCGTGTCATCTCTCGCGCTGCTAGCACAAACACACAAAAAGACACAAAAGAAATACCCACGTTTAGCCTTTGCAGGCTGCTGGAGCGGGTGCTGTTAATGATCATCACAGACACTTAAGCATTATTGCAGGCACAAGCTCACCCGGGTCTGTCAATTGTCAGACACACAGCCGGCTCAGCGGTTTTTTTTTTGCTGCGCTTTGAGATGGGCTTTAACAACAACAGATCGATCTCAGTAATCTCCCAAAGCAGTGCCACGTAGGGTAAATGGACATTAGTGATTGCTTTGCTTTGTTCATCAGGGCTCAGCTGGTCTCCATCCACAGCTCCCTCAACTCCTTACCTGCATCTATCAGCCCCATTCAACCTCGACAGTTAACCCCACTGACCCAAAAGGAGGCGAAAGAGTTGTGCTCACTTATCTGAACACAGCTACCAAATCACAATATTTCCATTGGCCCCGTGACATAAACAACCAACTGTGGCCCCCAAAGTAGGTTTGTGTAAGAACTACTATTCCCCCCCCTCTACGTTAAAGAGATATACAGAAGTGATATATTTTCTGCGGTATTGTTTGGATCCATGTTTGAGATCAAGCTACTGAAACGAATCCTGTTATCCTGTATCGATAACTTTGGCGAGTTTTGGCAAAAATACGTCATTATTTTTACGCATTTGTTTCTTCCAACAGTCAGCAAGCTAGCGCTGTACATTGTATAACTATGCCATACATATTATTGGTTCTTTCGGTAAAGTCACGTAGAAGGGAAACAATAAAATAATAAAAATATAAAACAATAAAATTATCACGACGTTTCGACTGCAACACAAGCAATCATCATCAGGTGTGAAAACCACAACAAGAAATTTTGAAAAAAATGTCTTGCTGTGGTTTTGAAACAAATGTCTTGCCACTCTATGAACAAGGCCTGAGCCTCCCCTAGCTTGACTTGGCCTAAAATAGGTAATTGGAGCACTAGTAGTGTGGTAAGAACATGAGAAATAACAGAGATAAAGGTAGCTGGACATGCAGTGGTACTATATCACGTTCCTCTACATTGTCATGCCAATCGAAACACATGCTTGCCAATCAAGGGGTAACAGTTCCTTGATTAAATGCGTTATTCACACTCATGATGACATGCGTAGAATCACGAGTGTAAGAAATGTTTCGATTGTTTTTTTTGTAATTAGTTCATGGAAACTTTGCAGCCTGTTTATGATACTTGTGCCAAACGCATTCATGAATAAAATCGTGACCTCAAACATCAAGGTGTTAATCGTGGTTGGGTCAAGGCTGTTAGTGAGCATCTGTTCAGGCTGGCATGGTGCCCAAGGTAGCGTTGCCCAGCACCACACTGCCTTTTTCACCAGTCATAATGTTTACACACAGCACCAAGTAACTAATTGAAGGCTCAGCTGATCTAGAAGAGGCTCAGGAATACTCTTTGGTTCTATTCGGTAAAGTCACGTAGGTAAAAAATAAAACAACTACATGACTTTACCGAATAGAACCAAAGAGTATGGATCCTTGCAGTCACGAAAGCTTTAAATCTAGGCTCAGGAATGGTTCAGATAAACATCCCCAACGTTGGCTCTGAGAGCCTCTTTGGTTCTTTCGGTAAAGTCACGTAGAAAATAAAATAATAATAGAATACGACGTTTCGGTTGCAACACAAGCAACCATCATCAGGTAAGAATGAATGATAAAACAGACACGGAAACAACAGTCAGACACACATGTAGCGAGAGACACACACAAAGACACACCGACCGTGACACACACCAAGGAAACACAGACACGGATATAAAAGTCAGACACACATGCAGAGAGAGACACACACAAAGACACACCGAGCATGAAACACACCAGGGAAACAGACACGGAAACAACATAGGCAGACACACAAGTAGCGAGAGACACGCACAAAGACACACACCAAGACAAACAGAAGGACAACGAATCTGTGCCGAGGCCTTAAAAAGAGAGAGGGGGGAGAGGCCGCGGCAGAGAGAGGACTGCGGAGTGGAGCAGTGTGGAATTCCGGACCACAGTGGCCGGAAGAGAGACAATGGTTTAGAGCAAGAAAATCGAAAGTTTGAGAAAGCAAATTTTGTCAAATTAAGAAGTGTAATGCAATGCAACATAGAGGGTCGGTTAACACACAGTTAACGCATAGGCTGGTTGATTAACGTTCTTAAAAAGATTGCTAATTTAGAAGTTAAGTGTGGAACAGACAAGCAAGGAGAGATTTAGAGAGAGAAGTAGGAAGTTTGACAACAAATTTAGTAAAATTAGAGAGTGTAATGTGATGCAACGCAGAGAGTCGGCTAACACACAGTTAACACATTGCCTGGTTGATTAACGTTCTCCCAGAGATTGCTAAAGTAGAAGTAAAGTGTGAGTTGTGAGTGGTAAAGTGTGAGTTGTGAGTAGTAAAGTGTGAGTTGAGTAAACCCTCCCTCCGTAGAGGTGGTTCAAACTAGATTAGAAGCTTTCGTGACTGCAGGAATAACTCTTTGGTTCTTTCGGTAAAGTCACGTATAAAATAAAATAATAATAGAATACGACGTTTCGGTTGCAACACAAGCACCCATCATCAGGTAAGAATGAATGATAAAACACAGACACGGAAACAACAGTCAGACACACATGTAGAGAGACACACACAAAGACACACCGAGCGTGACACACACCAAGATGAAACACAGACACGGCAACAATACAGGCAGACACATGCAGAGAGAGACACACAGAAAGACACACACCAAGACAAACACTTCTTAATTTGACTAAATTTGCTTTCTCAAACTTTCGATTTTCTTGCTCTAAACCATTTTCTCCTCTGGCCACTGTAGTCCGGAATTCCACACTGCTCCACTCATTTGTCCTCCGCAGTCCTCTCTCTGCCCCAGCCCATCCCCCCCTCTCTCTATTTAAGGCCTCGGCACAGAGTCGGTGTGCTTCTGTTTGGCTCTGAGAGGTTAAATGCAGCGCTTACACTCGTCGAGGCCCAACTGGTAGGCCAAGTTCTGCAGCCCTCGCACCTTCTCCATGAGGTTGGCCATGGTGAGACTCCCAAACTCTGCAGGCATAAACAGGGCCACACAGGTGAGCAGCTGCCCGGTATCACGGGGCTCAAGGCAACAGGTTGCCGAAGAGGTCATTATAATAACTTTCGTTTTATATAGCGTCATTCATGCGAATAGCGTCCTATAATGCCGTAAATTAATTTATATGTAAGGACCACAATCGCATTTGCAGCCACTACCAAGCAAATTAAAAACCCTACTACTAAGCAAAATCAAAAATGAATAAACAAATTAAGAAATAGCGCAAAAACTAAAAAGCATAAACTAAAAAAGTAATTACAACAAAGAAGTGCGCAGAGAACGTTGATTCGTGGGAGCGAACGCGAGACAGCACAAAGCAAGTCTAAAATCCTTCCGCTTGTTCCTTCCTTGAGATGCGGGCACATTCAGCCGCTCAACCAAGGCTAAGCTATAGTGTTACAGTAGAGGTGACGGTGGGAGAGGCGTTTGAAATAATTTAGCCAGTTACTCAAGTAGATTTTATGTGGTTATGATTCAGAGGAATTGGCTACAAATAAGTTGATTTCGATTTCTGTCACAGAGAACAGTTGAACAAAATAGTACGGTGAAACTAGCAGCGTCAAGACTTCCAACACAACCCTCAAACCATTCAAAATAAAGCCACCGTCTCGTTATGGCGCCAAAGTTTGTTTCACAAAGTGCCCGTTAATTTCAGTGTTGATTTGAAGCTTTCGTAACTGCAGGAATTCATACTCTCTGGTTCTTTCGGTAAAGTCACGTAGATAGAAAAAATAACTAAAGAAAACATGACGTTTCGGTCGCAACACAAGCATCCATCTTCAGGTGAGAAAATGATCTGCTGTTGTGGCTTTATATAGGCACGCGAGGGGGGGAAGGGGGGGGGGGAATTTTGTCGAGTCGTGGCTGCAGGAGTTCACGGGGAAGAGGGGGTGAGGGTTTGTATCGTGCAGGGATGGGTGGGAGCTGGCACAGGGGGGAGAGGGGGTGGGTTTATAGTTTAACAAATCAACAGAATCTTGCAGCATTTAAAAAAAGACTTAGTCCCTAATGTTTGTGTTTGTAGAAATCACATATCAACAAACAAACGTCAGTAAATTTGCACATTTGAAGATGTTTTTGCCCATTTCCAAATATCAACAGAAACAGCCCATCCAACAACAAATAAAAAAAACTCAATTTCTGGCCTCTATGTGCTGTTATTGTGCCGTGTGATGGTCACCTATGATATACGCTTTCCTTTTAAGGCCACAGTATCATTAACAAATGTGTTGCGTTCTTTTAATTATCTGTGCTTGTACACCACTTACGAGTATCTCTAAATAATTTGCTTAGCGCATGAAACAGGCCCTTAACACAAATTCAAATGAGCAATATTGGTTCAAGTGAAGGGTGGCATTATTATGGAGGGGCACGGCTCGTAATTTGTGAAACACCGCAGTGATCGATGATTGGCTGTTATTCATGACCAACAGTCCTTGTAGGCCGCGGGCTGTGGACATTAAGACGCACGACGCGGAAACTAACGCGCATTGCAATCCCAGGTCACCTTGCAGCATGTCCAGGTCGTCCTTCTCGAGGTCAGCCATCCATTTCGGAGGGGAACTCGCGATGGGCTGCACTCGTCCACGTAAGCACGCACACACAGGCAACAAAGAGGCACGTTTGCCGATCACGCAGAACTGATTGCAAACCCCATAAAAATTAGTTTTTTTTTTAAAACTCATACCTTTTAGAACTGCTTTTGTATTTAGTTTGCCGTCCTTCCACCAGCATCTACGATTAGCACGGTTGGCTACATACGGTGCGCAAGGTCAAAATACACACATACGCCGCACACAGCTTGGCCGGCCAAAGTGTGACGCTCGTGAACCCAACCACGTCTTCCTATAATACACGCAGTTTTCACTTATGGTCTTCTGCCAGAGACAACAGGCAATTCTGATATCATATGTTTACAAACGTCCACGTGATGTCAAATGCATTTCGAATTTTAAGTATTTTTTTTTTAATCTGTGGATTGAAACTCAAATGTCACCGCTCAGAACAAGCATCTGCAATTGCAGCGCTGAGCCAGAGGAGTAAACTCCACATTTCATTGGAAGGGATCAGTTTATCCATGGGACAACCATTGTTATCATTCCACCGAGGCAATAACTTTATCAGCCTCAGACTGATGAAAGTCCGAGTCAACCCTTGACCGAGATTTGAACTCCTTACCTCGTTTTTAAGTGAACATCTTTAACCACAGCGCCACCTGGCTGAATGATGCAGTTGTAACTCAGGAAAAATATAACTGCTCGGAACAAGGATCATCACCTAACATATGAAATTTATACATACGTAGTAAATGTTTCTGATGTAATGATGATGGTGCCGAGGTGTTATTTTTTTTTCCTTTACTGATAACTCATACTTACGCTTTTAAACGAAGCTGCAAACTCCGCCACACCAGGAACTAAAGGGTTAGGTACACACGCACAGCCACGCACGTACATGAGCACACACACAACCACGTATGAATGCAACACCAAGAAAAAGAACCCCCCTATAGGCTTTAACAAAATGGTGGGCAAGTGCTGTTACCGAGCAACTATTAAGACAGGCATGGGACACGATGGGGTGAATGGCCAGCACCACGCACGCCCACTTTTGTCTCCCCAATGCTGATGCTTACACACCGCAGCATTTAAGGCTGAGTTGATCTCATGGAGATTCATGACCGGTTAATATATTCGTCACTGATATTGGCTGTGAGCAGGAATCGAACTCGGGTCACCAGATTCTTAGTGCAGCACGCTAACCGAGACACGACCGCTCCCCACAATATGAATGCAGCACCACACACACAATCGGGATCTACGGATGAAGTGTACATTACAAATATCAATTGTTATTACAAAAGGACACATGAGCAGAAGCACAAACACACGTACAACATTCAATACAAGCACACAAAACGCATGCATACAGGAGCAGCCACATGAGCACACAAGGGGACAAACGCGCACGTGCACACACACACATGTACGCACAAACATGTATGCACGCTCAAACATCACACACACATCCAAGTATACATGAATTCGTACAAAGACCCTCTGTAAAGCCTTAACAGACTGTTGGGCAAGTGCTGTTAGTAAGCACCTATGAGCGCCAGCACGGCACACGAGGGGGTGGATGGCCAACATCACGCCCAGCCACCTTTGTCTCAATCGTGGCGATGTTTACACACCGCATTAGGTACTCATTTGAGGCTGAGTCGACCTAGGGGAGGCCCAGGACCAGTTCAGATAATCCTTACTGGTGTTGACCGTAAGCGGGAATCTAACTCGGGTCACCGGGTTGGTAGTGCAGTGCACGGACCACTACACTACCGCTCCCCACAAGTATACATACACAAGCACACGTAAATATAGACGTAAGTATATGCATACAAAAGCACACGTACAACAAAATTACAGATGAACGGAAACACATACGCACACAGAAAACACAACCGAGTACACAAGAGTGACAGTGTGATTGCACACTGTTGCTCATTGCACAATCCTCCTCCCCAGCAGTTCTAAACTGCACAGACACTCGAGAACCATGGCAAAATGCAACTGTGGCGTCCAAGTGTGACTATGGAAACCTCAACAACACAAGCGGCACCACTTCATAGCTGTCAACCCATACGGTTTAGCGGTATTCTTGTACAAAGAAATTGAGTTTTCAGGTCAATACAGAGTACAGTAAAACCTTGGATTGCGAGCATAATTCGTTCCGGAAACGTGTTTGTAATCCAAAGCACTCGTATATCAAAGCACTCGTATATCAGTTGTGATTACATGACGCTCGACAGACAAAGCCTATACGTACTACTCGTATTGCAAGACCTCGCTCGTTTATCAAATTAATATTTATTTTGCTCGTCTTGCAAAACACTCGCAGACCAAGTTACTCGCAATCCAAGGTTTTACTGTACAGCTATTTAAATGTGGGCAATTTGTTTTGTCTATTTGTTTGCGTTTCTCCCTTGTGATTGGACTTTGTAGGATGAACGTTGAGATTTTTAAAGGTACGGGGGTGACCAATGTGGTCTGAACTGGTCTGTAATAAGGTAGGCAGCACTGATAAGGGGTTGACAGCGATGCCACTTCTTTAGTTCTCTTGAGGGCTTCACACGTGTGCGTCTTTGTGTTTGCCTTACTCTGCTCTGGCCACAGCTCTGGAGATGACCTGTCCAGCTTCTCGAAACTCAACAGCGATTGTTCCATGTCTGCGACGACACACACATGCGACACACGAAACATGACAAGCAACATACTCTACCAATGTGCCCAAACAATAACGTTTTTAATCAGTGCGTATTATCCGCTATGATATACGGACCACATCCGTGGATATTAAATAGAAAAAAAAACACAGAAATGGCTGTGCAAAAATATAACGGAGAGGAACCTGCGTGGAATTACACAAAGACAGAGAAACATGTATTCGAGAATATAAACTGGTTAAGGACGTAACGTTGACTGTCAAGAAAATAATCGGAATATGCATATATAAAGGAAGAATCCGATGAGCTATAAAGCTCTTTTTCACAGATGAGCTTGGGCAGGATATGCAACTTGAAGGGCCGGTGGGGTGGTCGAAACTAACAACGGAGTTGCAGCAAAGGCAGAGAATGCACTCTGAGGGCTCATTTACCACAGAGACAGAGCGATGAAATCAACCCATGTGCAGGTCCTTGATGGATTAAAACTTCGCAGGCCCGTGAGAGATGGCGACGGCCTGGGCAGGCTTTCATCCAACCGTGGACTGATCATGGCTGGCTGATGATTTTTTAAGTTTGAGACTTACATTTGTCTTAAATGAAGTCACGTGAGCACATTATATAATAATTGCCAAGCATGGTAATTTAAATACATTCCAGTAATGTGGTGGCTTGGGAGGCAGAATTTGTGGATGATGCAGAGAAGCAGCGTGCACTAAAAATAGAAATGGCTCGTGTAGAATTCAATATGCCAGGTACGTTTATTAAGTGGGCCAGGTATATATTCTTGGTTCTTTCGGTAAAGTCACGTTGAAGGGAAACAATAAAATAATAAAAATATAAAACAATAAAATGTTCACGACGTTTCGACTGCAACACAAGCAGTCATCAGGTGTGAAAACCACAGCAAGAAAATTTTCTTGCTTGTGTTGCAGTCGAAACGTCGTGAGAATTTTATTGTTTTATATTTATATTATTTTACTGTTTCCCTTCTACGTGGCTTTACCGAAAAAACCAAGAATATGAATCCCTGCAGTCAGGAACGCTTTAAATCAAAATTTTGGGCCAGGTATGTGCATTTGCGAAATGCAGTTTTAATGTGTGTTGAACTTATTTCGCACCGTACGTCGCCAACCGTCTTAATCGGAGGCGAGAGGGGATATATAACAAACTAAACACAAAAGAGCAGCCTTAAAGCAATGAGTTTTCAATCGAGATGACTCAAAGATGCATAACTTCCCGTGGTTTCCCAATATGCGAAGAGTGTTCCAGACGGCCGCAGGAGCGCATCCGAAAGCGCCTTTGTCCGATGGCTAGCCAAAAGCAGCTGCCGTGAGGATGGCCTGGGCTCTCTCTCTGGACTATGTTTACACGCAGCGAAATGGGGCACAGCACGTGGGTTTGAGTCATGGCCACGGCCAACATCGGTGGCGAGCAACATCTGAACCCGGTACTCGGGACACCCGTTTCACCAAACCGCCATCGACCAGCGTGGCGAAAGTACGGTCAAATAAAACACGCTCACCTCGTCGAATAGTGGAATAGACCGTAATTAATTTAACTTCTTTCGGAATCTCAATGGTGGAAATTACACATTCATTGACGGGAACCGGGGTTGAATGCAACCGACTATTTTATAGAGGCACGACAAAGTCCTGGGTTTTCCTCGACCCCCGTTTGGGGTGACGACGACCACCAGGAATTGAAACAACAACTCTCTTAAGAGCGCAGAGAAAGCCCAAACAAAATGCCCTCTTGGGAGGGGTCTACCCGAGGCCTTTCCGAGAGCCAGGGGACTTCGACGTCAATTTTTGCGGGTTCGGCGCGCCTCGAACGTTCAACTCGCCACGGGCAAAGTTGCCCAAAATGTACCCGGAGCGAGAAAACTTTATATAAAAAAAAGTTTCTCGCGAAACCTGGCTGGCGTCAGAACAAACACGCAAAGCAGGGGAAAGAAAAACAAATAATCTATCGGCATTAAAACCACAGCAACGGTGATCGAGAGTCTGACCCGAGTTATCGGGGTCACTGGGTCATAGCCCACCGACCGCTCGCTCGCAAATCCCTGAGGCGGCACTCGTGCACGAAAGAGTTACCTCGAAACCAAAAAAGCCGTGCGCTTCACTAAGCCATCATTGGGTTGTCAATTGCAGCTTCTTGTTATTGTTTTGCCGGCGCACAGAGTCCCGCGCCCCTGCCTTGAACCGTAAACGCGAGACGCCGCCGTTCAGAATTAAACGACAACAACAACAAAACAAAACCGGCGCCGGAGTCTCGGCGCTCATAGCTGGTGGCGTGGTGAACGCGCGGTCGGGGACGAGCGAGGGGAGCGAGGGAACGAGGGGACGAGCGAGGGGAGCGAAGGGACGAACGAGGGGACGAGCGAGGGGAGCGAGCGAGGGAGCGAGGGGACGAGCGAGGAGCCTCGCGGCACCGCCGCCAATTTTGGAATTTACCCGCACTCGAGGCCGCCATCTTGAACAGCGGAGGCACGTGACGCGACGGCGAAGACACGCCCGCTCAATACCTATCCAGTGTGGGGTTTACAATAATCTTACTGCCTATCCAGTGTGGGGTTTACAATAGCCTCTCACTACCTATCCAGTGTGGGATTTACAATAGTCCCCACTGCCTGTCCAGTGTGGGGTTTGCAATAGCCCCACTGATTGTGTAATACAGGCGTGTCTCGCTTAACGAGCGAGATACGTTCCGCGAAAATTTCTCGGGAAGCAAAAACATGTTAAACGATCACCGTTTTGTTCCACTGACTCCCACGTTAAAAGCTCAGTTATGTTTCAGCCACAAAATGTTCCACTTTTGAAAAACTTTATTAACGTGAGAAAATTGGTTTGTGTTAAAGTAAAGAAAACATCAAATGTAATACCGCACGAAGAATCATAGCGCTTGAAGGGTATTAGATGTTATTGGGCATGGGGAGCAGCAGGGGCCGTGCAGGACCGCTGGTTCAAATATCACTCACCACTGATGTGAGCCATGGCTCGGAATCAAACCAGGGTTGCTGGTTTCATAGCCACAATGCGGACATGCGAGATGAAGCGTGACTTGGATATCTGTTAAAAAAATAACTTCATAGCTAATCTAATTCCTCCAGTCTAAATAAAGATTCCGTTCTATACGCCTGTCCTCACACGACTACCGGTAATCACGTGGCCACACAGCTGTGTGCCGTCGTGCGCCCCCTGCTGCCACAGAACGCAGATTGGTCGAGCGGTTTCTGCTCGCTAAACAAACATTTTGCTCGGTTTCCGAACAAATGGGTCTAAATTCAAATTGCTCGTTATAGCGAATTGTCATAGAAATAATGCTCGTTAAGCAAGACATGCCTGTATCCCTATTGCCTATGCATTGTAGGGTTTATATCCATATTGTATATGCAGTGTAGGGTGCACAATGCCCATATTTCCTATAAAGTATAGGGTTTGCAATGGTCCTGTGTTACCTATGCAGTGTAGGTCAAGATGTAATTCTGTTGCCAAAGGTGTTGACGCTCCCACACCTCGCCAGTGTTCCACCTTCGGCTAGATCCCACAGCTGCTGCATAGTGGACACAGCGACTTCCAAGATCTGCCCAAGCACAGTTGTCCCCCCGAGGTCTTCCCCTTGGTTGCTGGGCTTGTGCAGACAACCACTCAGGTGACTGTCTTTGTTAGCAGACCCTCCTCCATCATGCGGACGTCACAACGAGCGCAACCGTTTTTGCCTCTCCTAAGCATAGGAGACTACCTCGCCTGGTATACATGAGGTCGTCGGTTCGACCCCGACGCCTGTATAATTGGAGTTTGTATGTTGTCCCCGTGGTCACGTGGATTTTTCTCTGGCTCCTTCCTCCGGTTTCCCTCCACAATTACAACATGCGTTTATAGCATTTGGCTGCTATAAATTTCCACATAAGCCACTTCGTTGGGATAACATGTGGCCAGGTCACTTCTGAAAAAGAGCGATATAGAGCTACAGACTCACCTGCCATGTTCCCTTCAGAAATTCTTGCATTGCTCATTCTCTCTTGCTGTAACATTACTAGCAACTGTCTCAAGACACGCGTGCTCAAATTCCAGCAACTTACCTTCGAACCGATTGATTAGCACCCAGCTCTGTTCCACAGTAATTGCAGAGGTCATCCATGCCTCAAATACCCTCCTGATTTCCCTATTAAACCAAAACACACAACCAAAACTCAACAGTAACAAACAAAAAACCATGCATATGCATGGAATCGGCAACGTTTTCAAAACGCTTTTGTCCTTAGGAGCATATTAACTAACAATAATTCACTGCACAGCAGGTTAACTCTATTAGTGCTGGTTTTTGTCCAAGTTTTGGCGAATCTTTTGATCAATAGTAATTTTTTCATAGACTTAAAGCATATAATAGCAAAACAACTTTACACGTGCTAGCATTTAGTTAACATTTATCGTTCTGAGCATTACCATGCTCCACTGTTGCAGTCAGTCATAGAAAAAACAGAGCTTACGCATAAAGGTTTCAACTTTTTATTTCATCTGTTGACACTGAGAAGAGATTCCTTCACATGTGCCACGACAGTTGAGTGTACACACATACATCGGGGTGTCCCTTAATGCACAAGGGCAGGAGAGCGGATGGTAATGCCCCACTTAATTTGTGGCATTCAACGTATTCCATCCATTCTTTATCCAGAGAGAAGGGGGGGGGGGAAACACACACACAGATTCTCAGAAGAAATTAAATAAAACTAATTTCTCTTCAATCTTTTGGATAAAATTATTAATTCAATTGAAAATAATTTCGGGTTGACATTCTATAAAATGTCGAGTCAAAAACAACAGACCACCTCTGCCAGTGCTGTTAATGCCACCACCGCACATCACAGTTGCTTCCTCCCTTCATCCAGATACCACAGCTGTTGTTTCTTTAAGGGAGGCTATGAGAATCTCTGATTTTAGCGCTTCCCCCTCCCCATTGGTCGGTTTCCTTTTGGTGCCACGACAATTACATTTCACAAATATTTCTGCGAGGCTCAATAAGGGGGTGTGCGCGCATTCAACTGAGCTCCAAAGGGCTTTTCTATTGAACGACCTGTTAGCCCACAGCGCATCGCAACGGGAAGCTAACGGTCTGTGTAGCTGCAAGGCTCAGCATAAGGGTCGGCATGCCAAAATCCAGCCAATCGGAGGCACCGTACGTACCTTCCTTCCAACTCTGGGTTCACGAACACAACGTGTGTGCGCGCTCATTGGCGGAGCAGGTGCGTGACGTCCCTTATTGCGAGGTGCTCGCCGTCCGAACGCACCGTTCAATAAGCACTAACCACAGACTTCCATCACGTGGCATTACGGAAAAGCTCTCTACCATTTGAATGCACCTCAGGACACATGGCGAGTTGGCAGCCCCGCCTGCTTTTACATAACCACGCCTACTCAACCACTGGCCCTGCCCACAGAGTGTGGATTTGCTCTTCATAACATTGTCCATCTACTCCTCTGCCAACCATGCCCACTGCTCGGGCGTTGTCCTTATAAGTCAAGGAGGAGGCCAGAAAATATTAAACTGGGAATGAATCCCGACTTCCAGAAATTCTTCGGGACACCAGGACAGCTCTTCTGCAACTGCAAAGCTACCAATTTGGAATGTTCGATAGCTTTACACTCCAATGCCCGTCTTGATAACCTGCCTTCCTCCATCCTGCACGTGTAGCACCCATCACAACCATCTCTTGAACATTACATCTACAATGCCTTCCTGGCACATTCTGGTATCTAAAGAGGGTAAACATAAATCTTGACTTAAAGCTTTCGTGACTGCAGCAATTAATATTCTTTGGGTCTTTCGGTAAAGTCACGTAGATAGTTTCAAAGATGACGAACGCTTGTGTTGCGATCGAAACGTCGTAGTTTTTGTTGTTATTTTTTGCTATTTTATTTGAACCTGTCTACGCGACTTTACCGAAAGATCCAAAGAATAGGATAAACATACTTGGTGAGTAACCTGTGAAGGGGTTCGTGGAGACAATTTCAGCATTGCTAAACAACAAATGTCAACGCACCTTGATGAAAATAATGTTAAGTAAACAGTGAGCCTGTAGTGACCACCCCACTTTTTTGACGTGTGGGCAACAGCTTAAAACAGAGCACAGCTGCTATGAGATGTCGCATACAGTCTCGCGTGTGTTGAATCTCAAAAGTAATTTCTTAGGAAATCCCCATCTGAGACTCAATACTTTGTATTCAAGCAGATGCTGCTTGATATGTATTTCTTTACAAGTGAGAGTTAACCAGACTACAGTACACCTGGAGAAAACTCCATGCATGGGGAGAGATAACACTCAATTGTATACGCAAATAGGACAGCAGCCTACTTGCTGCACTGCCTCCCGCTGGCCACTTCGTATCCCCATAGCAGGGTTGTCCGATGGACGTGTTTATCTATCTCATCACGACCCACCAACCTTGCCTTCTCAGGCTGTTAGGACAACACGACACACATGTATAAGGCCAGAAAATCGGGGTGGGAAAGCAGAGGAAGGAACGGAGCATCTATTTAAAAAAAAAATTGCAGTGTGCAGTGTTCGCTCTGTGTAAATGCACGCATTAACCGCAGCTCACACAGTGTACTCATGACAGGCCACCTCTCCACGCTTCTGCCTCTGCGCCTGCTGCTGCTGTTGTGGTGTCAGTGGCGGAGAAGGATACCCAGCTCCATCCCCCACGCTCTTCGCTGCCCCAGTACAGGGTGGGGACGATGCCGACAATGGAGGAGGAGGCAGTGGTGGCGGTGGTGGCGGCGGCGGAGGCGGTGGGGACGAGGGAGGCGGTGATGTGGCCGTCGCGTTCGCTGGCGGGTTTTTCCGTCGTGACAGGACACCCTCGAATGGGACCTTCTTTCTGACACCGATGCCCGAATCGCAGTCCTCCTCGTCACCTCTCCTCTTCCCGTCAGGTGACTTCAAGGGACTCCCCTCGCCGGCGTGCCGCTGCTTGCCCTCGTCGGTGGCCGCCCCTCTTGGCGCCAAGCCTAACCCCCCGACGTCCGGCGCGGTCGTTCCGGCTCGCGCACCGCCAGCGGTGGCGGCAGCGGCAGTGCATGCCGCGCGGCCCTCCTGCGCCGACGGTCCCCCGAGGCCACCGGGCCGCTGCGGCAGCCTCACATCGTGGCCGCCGTCATAGTAACACCTCGCCGCGGCAGAGCCCGGAGTCGCGCCGGAGGTGCCAGAGAGCGCCAGGCGCTTGGTCTGCTTGGCCCTGCCGTCGCTACCGTCCGGGGCAGGGAGCGCCGCCGAGCCGTGCCGTCCACCGCCGCCGCCG